CACACTCATTATCTTCAGCTCTGGGCGAGAGTGAAGGAGCTCTGGTGAGATGGAAAATCGGAATTGTCGCCATCGCTTTGGAGGAACTCACGCGAAATATCGCCTGGGCGAGCAGACGCTTTTGGGGGTGTGTGCATTTGGGGGTGTCGTCGCAAAATCATGTGGAACACATCATCGAGTGAACAGAGAGGCACATGTGATGTGGCAAAGAGCTCTTCGGGGTGTATAATTGCTGATTTATTATCGACCATCGGCAACAATCTCTCGATTATAGAGCGAAAGGCAGCAAGGATGCTCTCTCCGTTCCATTCATCAATCCGACACTTGGCCCGAATTTCCTGTGATGGACACATTTCCCACTTCAATCTCATCTCTTTTGCCATTTGAGACAATTCGTCATATCACAGGACGAGAAAGCATGAATGGCTGAAGCGTCTCGAGGGAAATCTCTCTATCATTCACGAAATCATGCACACACACTCCTTGCTCAACCCTTTGTGCTCTCTCCCCCTTTCCAAGGGATCCTTGTCACTCCATTCCTCCCTCCCCTTCGTCCTCTCCTGCTCTCAGGCAGCGATATTTCTTCTAATTGACCCAATTTTGCCGCACGGAAAATCTCTCCAGCATTCTTCCGGGGCGCCAAATTGCGCTGATGATTGAAAAATTTAATTAAATTCACAAAGGAAACTTTGGTGCTCATTGAGTGCAGCAGAAGATTAATACAAATAGTCTCTTGCTATCATTTGCGCAACTTTTGTTGCACTTCAGCTGTCTCCATTGATTGCAGAGGAACTTTCTGAGCAAACTTATAATATTTTGAGCACTTTTTTTCTGCTTCTATTTCACCATTTGACGTGACCAAGGGGCAGATATTATGGTCGGAAGTGGTGTACAGCTTTTGTGGAAGTGTTTGGGAATGGGAAGTGGTAAAATATTTAGAGTATTTGCTTCGTTTTCATCGAATTGAGTCATTTTCTACTTAATTTTACTTAGATTAAATCAATTTTATTGTTTTTCTAGGTTATGTGATTGATTTGGCGAAAAAAAACCCTTAAAATCATAAAATTTGTGTTCAAGATAAGAATATTTTTCATTCTCTTAGCAGATTTAAGTCTTTCTGATTGTAAAAACTTCATGTTAATTCATAAACATCCTAAAAGCCTATCATAACCTCAAAAAAATGACATATCTGTCAAGAAGAATCGATCTTTGCTCAGTTATTTCCGCGGTTTGTATCTTATTATCTACCAGAAACACTTCATAATTCGCTATATTTACTTCTTTCTAGGTTAGAAAGAATTTAAATTAGTCTAAGAAGGATTTTTCAGGTCAGATTCATAACCTAGCAATTTGGTCAGAAGTTTTCTAAGCATTTTCCGGAGACAAAACTTGAAAATTAAATCGAAAAATATTCATAAACAAATACTAAGACATTAAGATCTTTTCATACTATTTGAAATCTAAGCTTTTGATGAGCTTAAACTTCTTGAGATTAAAAAAATCTATGGATTAGATTTGTGATAAGTATAAAAGGAATGAAGAAAACAGTTAAGAGAGTGTAAGAACTGATGAAAAATTCTTTCTAAGACGTTCAAAAGTGTCTGGAAGTGTTAAAGATCATGAAGAGAAATTGTGGTGTACAGATTTCAGACATATTATGCCCCCCTTGGACGTGACTGAAGCTTGTCATTCCAGGCAAATGATAGTGCAAAATACTTGCAGAAAGTTAGGAAAATAAATTAAACGATTCTCAAGCACAAAAAGTAGGAAAATTTATCACAATTGCTGCTAAAAACGACCAGAAAGAGCCACATTTTCCATCACAGAACTGTAAAATAGCCAAAATAGCCCAACTTAGCGCTTCTTCTCGACATGCCCTCATTTTCCCTCCTTTCTGTCTCTCCTCAAAATGCTTCAAATTGGCATTTATGGATTATAATTGAGCGTCTAATGTCGGCTGAAGAGCTCTCCGCCTCTTTCTATCGCAAATCACCCACCAAACAATGCGTTGTCGCTTTGGCACGCTAACTTAATCGTAGGCCCCAATGAAGATGATGGACAAAAGTCCGAGAGACGAGCAAAAGGTGCAAGATCTCTTTCTTCAGTCTCAAGATGATCGGCATTCACCGGATGAGAAACAAAGCGCACAACTGACACAAAACCACAAATTTGCCCAATAATCGTCCGCAGCAGCTTCCCATTGAATTTACTTTGGCTATAAATGCAAAAAGAGGAGCTGAATTAACCTATTTTGCAAGTTTTCTCATTTTACAGCACTCTAACTTGTTCCAAATTCCTCCAGACTTCCGTCGCATCGCTTCAGCAGTTGATAATTGCTAACTTTTTTCCTTTCCTTTCATTTTATTTTACTTCTATTGCTCTTCCAATTGAACGAAGTGACGAAGTGAAATTGAATTTAGATTCCACACTTTTCATGCTTTGCGTGTGTTTTGCTATTTCTCGAGGTGATGGTGAAAATTTGCCAGAAAACCACAAATGATTTGAGATAAATTAAAATAATCACGCTCACCTGAACAGTTCGCCTTGAAATTAACTTTCTGCCACGTGCGATTGTGGTTTATCGAATGGCTTTGGCACGACCCTTTTTTGGGCTTAAAAACAGTCTCAAGTCTATCTAATGGGTTGTTGCAACATTATGAATTGAAATTTGTATTTCATAACTTATATTGACGGCCGCCCGACGGCGCTAGTGTAAAGTACGAAGGAAATACGAACAAGAAGGCGTTGTAAGACAAAGATAAGAGCTTATTTAATACGAATTTCAGCTGTTAAAAAAAACCATTTCTTTGCCTCTACTTTTCAAGGGTGATTTTAGGACAGAATATTCCAACTTCCGTCCAGTTTCTGGCCATTTTCCTCCACGTGGAAGTTAGGAAATGTTTCTAACTAATCTCATGGAACTTCCAGGAGTTTTCAGCAATATTAGTGAATCCCAGTCACAAGACATCTTCATCCGCGGCTATCGCTGACATTGGGTGTGTTTCCGATGGGATTCGCGAAGGATTTTGCTGGCCAGAATGTCTAGGACAGTGTTTATCTACAGAAAAAACATAATTATTGCATATTTTCTTGGTTTTCACGTGACTTTTCCAGCCCTTCTTGTGTACAAAACTCGCAGAAGATAAATTCCCAACATTAGTAAGTGTTATGAATCGTAATCTTGCAACGACGCCTAGAATTCACAATTCAACATGTCAATTTTCCATAGATTTCCGTCTTTTGTATTTAATGAGGAAATAGTAAGAAATTCTCTTACATATTTGGTTCTAGATTTTTCTAAAATCCTCTAGAACTGTTAATGAATATAATATTTGTTATATCGTTTAATTTTTACACTGGAAAAGTATGAAAAATTGATTTTTTTAGAGATTATTTCGATAAAATATACTCGAAAACTATTAAAAATTACAAATTTTAAGTTTTCCTATTAACTTTGCCAAATTTTAGTCAAAAATTCCAATAAATACCAACAAAATCAACTGAAATACTCTGAAAATAATTATTAATGAGCAAAATTTGCTCTTAAATGGACGATTCGAAGGTGTTTTTCTGAGTTTTTCGGTAAAATTATGCAAATTTAAAGCCTAGAAAGTAATAAATTCGTCTAAAATACTCACATTCTTCACAACTCTGTGCTGCGTCACTATTTCTAGACCAGTTCTGTCCACTTATTTTGCAAATTTGTGCCTTTTTTGCCGGGCTTCTGAAGGTGCAGGAAAAAATCGTGCCGCCGAGAGTGGATTTATGCGAAAATGGTAAATTATAGCGTGGGCCAAGAGGGAGTTTTTAGGGGGATAATTGTTGAATGATAGGCTTTATGCTCCACGCAAGCACATAATCCTTCCGCTGGCGCAAAACTACACCATCGCGCTTAATTCTGCCAGCCACAATATTTTGGCTTTTTGCATTTTCCCCCCCAACGCCGAGACGCACGAAAAAGCCTCGGCGTTTATTGCTACATCAAAAAATAGTTTATAAATTTTAATACAGGAGAATTATTTCATTGTGATTTTTCAACGTCATCCATGGATTAAATTTGAATATTTCATTCGTGAGTCGGTTGTGTAATTTTTTATGATATCGATGGCGGAAATTTATCAATAAAGGAACTAAAACGCAAAAATATTCATGAAGTGCGGGAATTTCAACCATTATTAGCTAGAATTTGACTGTTTGAATAAAATAATTCATGCCATTTTACTCTTTCTCTCTCTAAACTTCGGTTTCCTTTTTGCTCAATCCTTGGAGTGCAGAATTTTTTGCACCTTTTTTTCTTCTTCTTCAGCCTCCTGAGCAACAATACAATTCCGAGTCAACTTCCGCTTCATTCAATGCAGATTCTCGTGTCTATTTTGTGCTATATTTTTACGTGCTTCATCTGTTGTGTGCGGCTTTTTTCTCTCTTTCTCCGTCGCCCTTCGGCTGAATTGGAGAAAATCGTAAAATTTGTTGTTTATTTGTCCCTCTAAAATCCTCAAAATTATGTAGCAAACGCTAGCTTTCCTCAATGGCCAATTCATTTGCTCAACACAATGCCGAAGGTCTTTTGTCGGAAGCACCACAATTTGTGACTTCGAAGGGCTGCGAAAGGAGCACGTTATCTCGATCATAATTTTTGAGGGAAATGTTGGCGTTTCACTGCTTCGCCGCTGCTGAATTAGTGAAGAAAGCAAATTTATGGCACGATTAAACTGTTCGGACCTCAAGATTTAAGGCACTTCCGGCAGAAGTGTTCGTTTTGAAGAATTATTTATCATTTGATCACTTTGTGACGAACATATTTTATGCATTCACTAGATTTTTGATTAGTTTCTAAAGACAGTTTTTATTTCCTTAATTGACTCCTGGAAATTAAAGCCAAAGAATTGAAATGAAAATAAAATGTTAAAAATCTTTTAATTGCTAACAGAAAATTTAACCCATTTTGTCATCAATCACTGTAAATTGAGGAAAATGATCACACAAACAGACATTTATTCGTAGAAATGTTCAAAAACTCATTTAAAAACAGATTTAAACATCGCTTTTTCATGGAATTCTTTGAAAATAAAATCAACTGCATTACCGACATTGCAGCGCTCTCGTGAAACGAGAAACACAGCAGAAACATGTTTCAAACATTCAATTCTCAACATTCTCAACACTTTCTCTTCGCGGCTTCAGAGATTCGCCTCCTTGGGGGCTTTTGGGCGCTGCGGGTGCTTGTTCCGGATGTGCACCTTGAGGGAGGCGAAGAGCGGGAAGGCCTTGTCGCACTGGTCGCACTTGTGCGGCTTCAGGCCCGTGTGCATGACTTTGTGCGCCTCCAGGACGGATTTGCAGGCGTAGGATTTGCCGCACTCGTCGCAGATGTGCTCCACCTTGAGCTTGAGGCGCGGCCAGGAGTCGCCGCTCAGCTTGTGGCGCTGGATGTGCTTCTGCAGCGAGGGGATCATCTGGAAGGCCTTGTCGCACACTGGACAGCTGAGATTGTGGCCGTGATTGCGCAGCGCCGTGGTGGTGCGGAAGGCCAGCTGGCACTTGTCGCAGCGATACGGCGTCTCGCCGGTGTGGCAGTTGAGGTGCATCTGCAGGATCTGCTTCCGCCGGAAGCCGCGCTGGCAGATGTGGCACTGGAAGGGGCGCTCGTTCGTGTGGCGCATCATGTGGCTCTGCAGCGAGTGCTTCTGCGTGAATCTCATGCTGCAGATGTCGCAGGAGAACCTCTTCACGCCGCCGTGCGTGTTCTCCGTGTGCAGCTTCAGCGCCTGCGGACAGGAGAACTTCTTCCGGCACTGAGAGCACTGAAGTCGGTTGCTGTCGTACTTCCTCTTGGGCGACTTTTCTTCCTCAGTTGTTTCCACCTCAACTTCCCCCACTTCCTCTGCCTCTGGATCCGCAGGATACTCCTCGGCGACTTCCTCTTCAGGCGCATCAGCTGCTGCCGTCACTTCGGTTGGTTTCTCCTGACTCAGAGTGTGCAGAAGCTTCTTCAGAACTGTGTTTGTCTCCTTGCACATCCTCTTGAAGTTGTAAGCCACCTGGAGATGGGAGTAACACAGCTTGCATAGGAAAGTGGACAGTCCGTCGCCCTTCTCAATCTGCAACAAGACCAAGGGAGACTCCTGTGAGGCCCGGAAATCCCAGAAACAGACGAAAGTCAGGAATCACCTTCAATTGCGTGCAATACCGGAATTTCTCGGACAACTCGTCGCTCCCGAACAGGAAATGACTCTTCTCCGGCTTGAGACAGCCTCGACAGGCCTCCAGAGGCATGGTAACGAGCGGATCTCCCATTTTCAAGCCCCTTTTCGCACTCTCTCGGTTTGTTTTTGTTATGAATATCATAACCTCAAAAATTTACTCCAGCTACACTGAAAAATCTAAGGCGCAGAACTTCCAGCTGGTTTAGCTAAATACACTTTTGTATCGGGTTTATCTCTTCCTCACAACCCAGTTGGGATCCTCCAGAATCCTTTTAGAAATTTTCAGGAACGCAAAGCGAAAAGTGTTTACGTTTTTTGCAGTGTACTTGCTTGTCAAAAATGTCTGAACGTTCGCCTGAGTCGCAGAAGTAACGTCAATAAGTGCAGAAAAAGGTAAAATTTCTCTATTATTCCCCATCAAATCACCCAAATGCCCATCACAGCTGCCAGAGGAGCCTTTTTGCCTCCCGCGGGGGCACTAATCACTCAGTGTTCCCTGGGAATGTGGTGGAAAACAGCGCGAAAAGGCTCCTCCGTTCTTATGTAATGCGGAATTGTGTTTCCACCGTCATAACAAACAGAATCTTGTCTTTGAAGGATTTTGAGGATGTTCCGAACACCGCTGGCCAGGGCTTTGGCGCTGGGATCGCCCACGAAGGCGGTCGGCGTGGCCGTGAGGAGTTCCGCCACGGTTCCGGCCAAGGCTCCGGAGAAAATTGAGGTGTTTATCGACGATAAGCCTGTCATGGTGGATCCGGGAACGACGATCCTGCAGGCGGCGGCGCTGGTGGGCGTGGAGATCCCGCGCTTCTGCTACCACGAGCGCCTGGCGGTGGCGGGCAACTGCCGGATGTGCCTGGTGGAGGTGGAGAAGATGCCCAAGCCGGCGGCGGCGTGCGCCATGCCGGTGATGAAGGGCTGGCGCATCAAGACGGACTCGGAGATGACGCGCAAGGCGCGCGAGAGCGTGATGGAGTTCCTGCTGATGAACCACCCGCTCGACTGCCCGATCTGCGACCAGGGCGGCGAGTGCGACCTGCAGGACCAGGCCATGGCCTTCGGCTCCGACCGCTCGCGCTTCACGGACATCGACCACACGGGCAAGCGCGCCGTGGAGGACAAGGACATCGGGCCGCTGGTGAAGACCATCATGACGCGCTGCATCCACTGCACGCGCTGCATCCGCTTCGCCAGCGAGGTGGCGGGCGTGGACGACCTGGGCACCACGGGCAGGGGCAACGACATGCAGGTGGGCACGTACGTGGAGAAGCTGTTCATGTCCGAGCTCTCGGGCAACATCATCGACCTCTGCCCCGTGGGCGCGCTCACCAGCAAGCCCTACAGCTTCGTGGCGCGCCCCTGGGAGATCCGCAAGGTGGACAGCGTGGACGTGCTGGACGCCGTGGGCAGCAACATCGTCGTGAGCACGCGCACCGGCGAGGTGATGCGCATCCTGCCGCGCGAGAACGAGGAGATCAACGAGGAGTGGCTGGCGGACAAGTCGCGCTTCTCCTGCGACGGCCTCAAGCGCCAGCGCCTCATCACGCCCATGCTGCGGATGCCCTCGGGCGAGCTGCAGCCCGTCGACTGGGAGTCCGTGCTGATCCAGGTGGCGAAGCGCGTGCGCGACGCGCAGGGAAAGGTCGCCGGCGTGGCAGGAAGTCTGGCGGACTGCGAGGCGATGGTGGCGCTGAAGGATCTTCTGAACAGGAATGGCTCGGAGGTGCTCTGCACCGAGCAGGGCTTCCCCACGGACGGCTCCGGCACGGACTTGCGCTCCAGCTACGTCCTCAACGCCTCCATCGCCGCCGTGGAGGAGGCGGATTTGGTCCTGCTCGTGGGCACGAATCCGCGCTACGAGGCTCCGCTGCTCAACACGCGTCTGCGCAAGGGATTCGTGCACAATGAGCTGAACGTGGCCGTTGTGGGGCCGAAGATTGACCTGTCCTACGATTACGAGCATCTGGGCAGCGATGCCAACACGCTCAGCCAGATTGTCGGCGGAAGTCACGCGTTCTCCGCCAGGCTGAAGGCCGCCAAGAGGCCGCTGATCATCGTGGGCGCGGATCAGCTGACCAGGAAGGACGGCAAGGCGGTGCTGGCCAGTCTGCAGGGCTTCGCCAGCCAGCTGCAGGCCGGCAAGGAGGACTGGAAGGTGTTCAACGTGCTGCAGCGCAACGCATCGCAGGTCGGGGCGCTGGACATTGGCTACACGCCGGGCGTGGAGCGGCTGAAGGAGGCGCAGCCGAAGGTGGTGTTCCTCCTGAACGCCGACGCCGGCGCTGTGACCAGGGAGAGTCTGCCCAAGGACTGCTTCGTGGTCTACCAGGGCCACCATGGCGACGCGGGGGCGCAGATTGCGGACGCCGTGCTGCCGGGCGCGGCGTACACGGAGAAGCAGGCGACTTACGTGAATACAGAGGGCAGAGCCCAGCAAACACTCCTGGCAGTCACGCCGCCCGGGATGGCGCGCGAGGACTGGAAGATCCTGCGCGCACTGTCAGAGATCCTGAGCACGCCGCTTCCGTACGACACGCTGGACGAGATGCGCAACAGAATGGAAGACATAGCGCCCCATTTGGTGCGCCACGGACGCCGCGAGGAGAGCAACTACCTGAAGGAGGCCTCAGAGTTGGCTAAAGTGAGTGTGAGGAGCGCGTGAGTGGCTTCCGGAAGGTGCTGACACTTCTTTCTGTCTTTCAGGATTCAGCGCAGAGAATCGAGGGATCCTTCGATGTGGCCCAGAAGGGCCTGCAGGACTACTTTATGACAGATCCCATCTCCAGGGCGTCACCCACGATGGCCAAGTGCATAGCGGCGGTGAAGAAGGTCGCCTCGTCCTGAACTGTAGTCTTTCCCGGAGTGTAGAAAATTACTTTCAATCTGTATCTGCGATTCTAGTTCTCCATCACAAATAAATGGAGCCTGTTCTAGACTAGATTTAACAGCTTTATTTCGTCCGTGTGAGCCTAAAATACTATTCAATCATGGTTTTATGTACACGAGTCACTTCCACGCCCGTCTAGATGTTGAATCCCTGATCTCTCATGCACTTCTTGTGCGCCTCAATCAAATCCTGGCAGTTCTCCTCGCCCTTCTCCACTATGCACGCGTCGCGGGCCTTTTTCGTCTCCGGACAAGCACAGCACGCCTTGCACTTGGGCTTCTCACCCGCCGGAGTGGCTGGTTTCGCAGATTCATTGCCCATTTCGGTTCCGGGAAGGCTCAAGAAGCCGGGAATTAACCTTGATGAGAAACAAAAGTTGAGGTTAAGTCATGAGATTCCTTGGAAACCCTCCAATTATCACTCACTCTGTAATTTCTCACGTGCACTGGCCAAGATGAGACACCACTTCGCGAGGTGCAGTCAAATTTTCATACAGAAAATGAGTGTGAAAATTCACGGAAAAATTTTGCAATCAAACTGTTTGCAAGTGCTCGCCGCCAAAAGCGCTGCACGCCGCGGCAAGAGCCCCTGGCGGCCAGACTGCAAAGGAGTCAGTAGTGAAATTACTTGCGTGATGTTGTGTAGAAATCTGCGAAAAAGGCACATTTCAGACTGAATTAGTGATCAGTGAGGGGCCATTTGGCCTGCATTGTGTGCTGAGGACACTCGGGGGCTGCGTGAGTGGTGAAAAGCCCGGCAAAGCAGTGAAATGGCGTCGTTTATTGAGTCCGAAGCGGAGGAGAGTGATGTAAGTACAAAAGTGATGTTTTCCCCCCATTTAGAGTCGCATTTCCGGGTATTCTTGGCATATTTCTGTGCAATGGGGCCCCCGGGTGCCGCGGAGAGGGTTGATGTGGTGTTTGGCGTGGGCGCTGGGCAGTTGGGGGAGTTTTTTTGTTGATGCGTAGACAGTGGAAGAGAAAACAAACGCCATGTTGAGGCCGCGTGACGTCGACGGAATTTGCAGAGTCGCGAGAAAAATTGGCGAGTTTTTTCCAGTTCTCGGCATGTCGTGGAAGCGTGCCGTGGATGCGATAGGAACTGATTGTGTGTTTGCCATTGCAGCAGGAGGAGGAGTTGGAGCCGCACGAGCGCTCGAAGCTGAAGCGTCTCAAGGCTGTGTCGGAGAGCGAAGAGGAGGACGAAGGTGAGTGTGTGTTCCGGAAGTGACTCACGCGCGGTGCGCTGAAGACTTCTGTCTCTTTCCGACAGATGACAACAACCAGGCCGTGGACGATCTCATTGACGATCGCGAGATCGAGGAGGGCAGTGATTCCGACGCCTCGGAAGGCAGACACAAGCGCAAGAAGAGCTACGATGAGGACGATCTGGATGATCGGCTGGAGGATGAGGATTATGACTTGATTGAGGAGAATCTGGGTGTGAAGGTGGAGCGTCGGAAGCGCTTCAAGCGTCTGCGGCGCATCCAGGACGAGGAGAGCGACGGCGAGGACAAGGAGGACGACGCGAGGCAGCGCCAGAGAATCGCTGAGCGCATCTTCGATTCGGATGAAGTAAGTTGTGTGCCGATAGATGAGAGATGAGATGAGCTGTAATCACTTAATTGGACGTGTTTTTGGTGACTTTTTCACGGGTGTTTTTGAAAAAAATTAAGGAAATTGAGCCTGAACAGCAGGTATCGGTTAGTGTTCCTCCTGACGCTGGAGTTCAGGGAGTTGCGTGGGGATTTGGGAGTGAGAATGTGGGTTCATGGGTGTCATTGCTTGCTTTTTAGGACGAAGGCGCGCCGGAGAGAAGTCATCCGACCGCCGAGGCGGATCACTTTGATGAGGAAGAGGAGGAAGAAGAGTCAGACGCTGATGACTTTATCGTGGACGATGACGGAGTGCCGATCAGGAAGAAGCCCCGAAAGCCCATCTTCAGAGATGCGTAAGTCAATCTCTCTCTCAAAGGCTAGAGAATCCCCTTCACAATCTCTCTCTGTCTCTGCAGAATCCTCCAGGAGGGTCAGGATATCTTCGGCGTGGACTTTGACTATGATGAGTTTGAGAAGTTCGACGATGATGAGTACGAGGATGAGTACGAGATGGACGGCGAGGCGGACAGTGAGAAGCGACCGAAGAAGCAGGCTCGCAAGAAGACAATGCGCAAGTCGATCTTTGAGATTTACGAGCCCAGCGAGCTCCAGCGCGGTCACTTCACGGATCTGGACATTGAGATACGCAAGACGGACATTCCCGAGCGCATGCAGCTGCGCGAAGTGTCGATCACGACGGTGGATGCGGAGAAGTCGAGTGAGCTGGAGCAGGAGGCGGAGTGGATCTACAAGCAGGCGTTCTGCAAGGAGCCAGTGTCCAAGCAGGACGTCTTCACCACCGATGGACGCGACAGAGTGCGCAAGCCGCCGAGTGCGATTGCCAAGATCAAGCAAGCGCTGGACTTTATGCGCAATCAGCAGCTGGAAGTGCCGTTCATTGCGTTCTACCGGAAGGAATATGTGAAGCCGGAGCTGAACATCAATGATCTGTGGAAGGTGTACAAGTACGATGCCAAGTGGTGTCAGTTGGTGTCGCGCAAGAAGGCGCTGAAGGCGTTGTTTGAGAAGATGCGCGAATATCAGCAGGACAAGATCATGGAGAATCCCGATGAGCCCATTCCCGATGACTGTCGCTTGATGCGCGATGATGATTTGTTTCGCTTGGAGATGGTGCAGACGCCGGAGGAGCTGAAGGATGTGCAGATGCACTTCTATCTCTACTATTCGCATGAGATTCCCAAGATGCAGGAAGCGTGGCGCGTGAAGGATCGCGAGAGGCGGAAGCAGCAGCGTTTGCAGGCGAAGAGGCGCGAGAAGGAGGCGCTGGAGAATGGCGAGGACATCTCTGAGATGGCTGATGAGGATGAGGAGGAGATGGAGCAGCCGGAGGAGTCGCTGAAGCAGGCGGGAGACGCTGGACCGTACACAATGTGTCGCAAGGCGGGAGTTTGTGGCATGGCGAAGAAATTCGGTCTCACGCCTGAGCAATTTGCTGAGAATCTGCGCGACAGCTATCAGCGTCACGAGGTGGAGCAGGAGGCGACGGAGCCGACTGAGCTGGCCAAGCAGTACGTCAGTCCGAAGTTCCAGACGCCCGAGGAGGTGCTGTATGCCGTGAAGTATGTCGTGGCCAGGCAGCTGTCCAAGGAGCCTCTGCTGAAGAAGAGTGTGCGTGAGATTTACTTCGAGCGCGCCCGGATTTCCGTGGAGCCCACGAAGAAGGGTGTGAAGGAGATCGATGAGAATCATCCGTGCTATGGACTGAAGTTCCTGAAGAACAAACCCGTTCGTGACATTGTGGGCGAACAGTTTCTGCGATTGGCCATGGCGGAGGAGGACAAACTGTTGACAATTCAGTTCAGTGAGAAGCTGGAGGGAAATACTTCTGTGCCGTATTTGGATGAGATCAAGGCCCTGTATCAGAAGGATGAGTTTGCGAAGAATGTCCAGGAGTGGAATGCCATTCGGGCTGAATGTGTCGAAGTGGCGCTCAATAAGATGGTGTTGCCGGATTTGCGGAAGGAGTTGAAATCGATGCTTCTGGCGGAGGCGAAGGATTGTGTGTTGAAGGCGGCGTGCAGGAAACTCTGCAATTGGATCAAAGTGGCGCCTTACACAGCCTCATTTCCCGAGGAGGACGATTATGAGTGGGAAACGGCGAAGGGACTGAGAATCATGGGCTTGGCTTATGTTCCGGATTACACACAAGTCAGTGTACAATTTGTGCTGTTGATGTTTTAATTCTTTGCTTATCTGCATGTTTGTTTTCTCTTCTGCAGTCTGCATTTTGTGCTCTTATCAATCCCGATGGCGAAGTGACTGATTATCTGCGCTGCCCGAATCTGCTGAAGCGGAAGAACGCGTCGTGGGAGGACGAAAGAGTGCTGAAAGAGGCGGATTTGACTTCCATCAAGAACTTCATTCGCAACAAGAAACCCCACGTGATTGCAATTGGTGGTGAGTCTTATGATGCCAAGAGGATTCGTGATGACTTGTGGGAGTGCATTAAGGAGTTGCGCGAAGAGGAGCAATTTCCCTCGATTGCTGTGGAGATTGTGGACAATGAATTGGCGAAGATTTATGCGAATTCACACAAAGGAAGTGCTGAATTTCGTGAATATCCAATTCTATTGCGTCAAGCTGTGTCGTTGGCGAGAAAATTGCGTGATCCACTTGTGGAATATTCACAACTCTGCACTGCTGACGATGAGATTCTCTGTCTGCGCTATCACACACTGCAGGATCAGCTGCTGAAGGAGGATTTGCTGGAGAATCTGTACTTGGAGTTCATCAATCGCACCAATGAAGTCGGTGTGGATATCAATTTGGCCGTGCAGAATCCACTGTATGTGAATCTGGTGCAGTTTGTGTGCGGATTGGGACCGCGAAAGGGTCAGGCGTTGATTAAGATTCTGAAGCAGACGAATCAGCGATTGGAGAATCGCACGCAATTGGTCACGGCGTGTCACATGGGCCCGAAAGTGTTCATCAACTGCAGTGGCTTCATAAAGATCGACACGAATTCCCTCGGCGACAGTACAGAGGCGTATGTGGAGGTTCTCGATGGATCTCGTGTGCATCCGGAGACGTACGAGTGGGCGCGGAAGATGGCAATTGACGCGCTGGAGTACGATGATGATCAGATGAATCCGGCGGGAGCGCTGGAGGAGATTCTGGAGTCACCGGAGAGGCTGAAGGATCTGGATTTGGATGCTTTTGCTGTGGAATTGGAGCGTCAGGGCTTCGGAAACAGGAGTATCACGCTGTATGACATCAGAGCGGAACTGAATTCACGCTACAAAGATCTCCGGACGCAATATCGATCGTCCAATGCTGAGGAATTGTTCGATATGCTGACCAAAGAGACGCCTGAGACATTCTACGTGGGCAAGATGGTGCTGGCCGTGGTGCAGGGCTTCACGTATCGCAAACCACAAGGCGATCAGCTGGATCAGGCGAATCCTGTGCGCAATGATGAGACTGGATTGTGGCAGTGTCCGTTCTGTCTGCAGAATGAGTTTCCGGAGTTGTCTGAGGTGTGGAATCACTTCGATGCGAAGACTTGTCCTGGTCAGGCGACAGGAGTGAAGTTGAGACTGGATAATGGGCTGCAGGGATTCATTCATGTGAAGAATCTGTCGGACAAGCATGTGAAGAATCCTGAGGAGAGAGTTCAAGTTGGTCAGACAATTCACGTGAGAATTATCAAGATTGACGTTGATCGCTTCTCAGTGGATTGCTCGTCAAAGTCATCGGATTTGCTGGATAAGAATCACGAGTGGAGACCCACGAAGGATGCGTACTATGATCAGGAGAGTGAGGATCAGATCACGCGCAAGGATGATGACACGAAGAAGCAGAAGGCCAGACATCACTACATCACCAGAGTGATCTTCCATCCGGCCTTCCACAACAAATCCTACACGGAGGCGCTGAAGATCATGGAGACGATGGATCAGGGCGAGGTGATCATCAGGCCGTCGAGCAAGGGAGCGGATCATTTGACAGTGACGTGGAAGGTCACGGATGACATCTACCAGCACATCGATGTGCGCGAGGAGGGCAAGGAGAATGCCTTCTGTCTCGGTCGCAGACTCTGCATTGGCAGTGAAGAGTTTGAGGATTTGGATGAAATCATTGCGCGCTATGTCAATCCGATGGCGTCTTATGCGCGCGACTTGCTGAACTACAAATACTACAGAGACACGATTCAGGGACTGAAGGACAAGGCTGAGGAGGCACTGAAGGAGGAGAAGGTGAAGAATGCCACCAAGATTCACTACTTCATGTCCGCCTCGAAGAATTATCCGGGAAAGTTCTTGCTATCGTATTTGCCGGTGAATAAGTGTAAGCATGAGTATGTGACAGTGACGCCGGAGGGCTTTAGATTTCGTCAGCAGATCTTTGATTCGCTCAATGCACTGCTGAAGTGGTTCAAGGAGCACTTTAAGGATCCTCTGCCAGGCAATACGCCACTCACGACGCCCAGAATGTCACTGCGGACGCCGTATGGAACGCCAGGAGGACAAAGTGGATCCAATTGTAAGTTGCAATCACGCCAAGGGGTGCCAAAGAGTCTTGGTTACTTACTTTTCTTCCTTCTCCGCAGCCGTCAACACAGATGCAATCGCCAAGGTGGCGCAGAATCTGCCATCTCACATGCTTCACTCCCTGTCGCAGGTCGCGAACCAGACGCCTCACTATCCTCACACTCCAGGCGCTTACGCACAGAGTTCATATGTCAACACGGTGAGTATTTCTTGCACGCTGTGCCTCTGAAGTATTTCTGACTGATCCAAATTGCCTTGCAGCCGTACACACCGAGTGGCCAGACGCCCTTCATGACGCCGTATCACACGCCGCACTCGTCGCAGACGCCGCGCTACGGCCAAACGACGCCCACGATGAATGGGCCGTTTGCGCATCCTGGCGCCCCGATGAGTGCCTCGCAGCACTACCGCAGCGGCAGCGTGGGCAGCGGCGTGGGCGGCTACCACGCCGGCGGCAGCTCACAGCCGATGGCCAATCCGTCGCCGCACCAGCGCTATCACGGCAGTTCACCGTACGTGCCGAGCCCGCACTCGCGCTATGGCTCGCAGAGTGAGAATCTGGAGTGGCAGCGCGCTGATGACGCGTGGGCGAGATCCAAGGGAACACCCGGCGGCACCACGCCACGCGATCGCGCCGCAGCACGAGGGTGAGTCTCATTTCCGATCCTCTTTTCCACGCTCTTCCAGAGTTTCTGCCGTTTTTGCTCTTGAATGAATCGCTGATTGCTGTTTGTCTTCCAGATCGAGCAGAACGCCGCGATATGATGAGTATCCGCAGCACGGACACGTGCGCAAGACGCCGCAGTACGACAATGGGCGGCCGATGAGTCGCTCTGGACGCTCGGATTATGGCAAGAGTCCCAGATCGTCGCGCAGCTCGCCGAGGACAAACACTTCTCCTCGCTCGATGACGCTGGGCGATTCCACGCCGCTTTGGGATGAGAATTGAGGATAAAGAAGGGGAGAAGAAGGATTTTGCTAAGTGAGAGAAATTCTATATAGTGAGTTTGTGAATTTTATCAATTCATAGGTCTTAAAAACAATCAAGAAATACACAGTTGAATGAAGAGCTCTCAAGTGTTTATGCGAAGCGGCGCAGGAGATGAAGAAGCGCCAGGAGGGCGAAGAGAGAGAGGCCGAAGTGGAACTTCGAGGCTCCGCACGTTTGCTCCTCGCCGTAGGCGCCGATTTGGGCGGCGTAGGACATGGCGAAGGGCAGGACGTTCTGCTCGTACTGGCCGACGAAGAGATGCGCCCAGGGACCGGAAGCGTACACGCCCACGTCGTCGCCGCCGTGGCTCTCCGTGTTCAGCGGCACTGTGGCGAAGTACTTGAATTCCGGGTCGCTGGAGTCGAATCCGGTGATGTCCAGGCGCTGATCGCCGGCCTCGTTGTATGTGTTGTAGTAGCCGCCGCCGTTGGCGTAGCTCATGATGCTGAACGGCATCCGGTCGATGTTGCTGTTCTGCGCAATTCCCAGGACGTCCGCGCCGCGAGACTGAAAAGATCATCGTTAGACAATTGTTGGGATCTTTGCAATTGGAGTTTAGTTTACCGGATAACCAGCGTAGGTCAGAGTGTGACCGTGATCGGCAGAGACGACGATCAGAGTGTCTTCCTCACTCGTCATGTCTCTGGCCAACTGGACAGCCGCGGAGAACTCAATTGTCTCGTCCAGAGCGCGTCTTGTCCACGCTTCATGGTGAGCCACATCGATCTTCCCGCCCTCAACGAACAGGAAGAATCCCGCCTCTTCCTTCTGCAGCATCCTGATGGCACTCTCGACCATGTCACTGAGCGTCGGCTCTTCGGGGTCCTCCAGAGCGTCCAGATGGTACTTCATGTGACCGCCTTCGAAGAGTCCCAGCAAGTAATCCGTGCCGTTGACATCCAGCGCGGCAAGATCACTCTTGCGCCACACATACTTCGCCGTTCCCGCCTTGCTGCGCTCACTCTCCCACTCCTCGATGAGATTTTGCCCATCTTCACGCAGACCCGCATTACCCTCTTCGTCCGTGACGCCGCGATCGATGAACTCCGTTCGTCCGCCGCCCAGGATCACCTTCAGCTTGCTGCCCACTTTGCCGCGCACGAGTTGCTCGGCAATGTCGTGGGTGGTTTCGGGATCGCACTCGTCATCCGCCACTTCGGCGTCGTTCTCCCAATAGCGATCGGCCACGTGAGCGAACAGACCCGCCGGACTGGCGTGCGTGATGCGCGTGGTCGTCACCACGCCGACGCCTTTGCACGAGTCCAGAGACCACTGGCCAATGCCCGTTGTGTGATGACTCTCGTCAGCTTGTCCTGCGCAATCGTAACGCGAAACTCCGGCATCGAGTCCGATGGTTCCGTAATTGGCCTTAACGCCGCTGAAATACGCCGTTGCCGTACAAGCGGAGTCGGAAACCTAGAGAAATAAGGAACGTGATCATGAATCTCTCTGTTGAATACTCTTGAACTTGCCAAGGGGCAGATATTATAGTCGGAAGTGGTTTACGGTTTTGCGGAAGATTTAGGAATTCATCTTTTTCTAATAAATTGAGGCGTTTTCAAACCAATTTCATTACGTTTCTAGGTTTTCTAGGTTATGTGCTTGATTTAAGACAGATTTTGATGCTCAAATAACCCTTAAAATAATCAATTTTGTGTTTAAGCTGAGAATATTTCTCTTCTTCTTGGCACAGTTGAGAATTTGTGCTCGAAAAGCTTCAGCTTGGCTAAATTACGGAAGTAAAAAACAGCTTTAAAATTAAACATAACCTCAAAAATGTCATTTTAGCCTAGATGAAGGCCCTGAAGGCCTCTTTGCTTAGTTATTTCGGTGATTTCCTCGGTTTATACTTTATTATTCAGTAGAAACATTGAGAAATTCGCCATATTTACTCATTTTCAAGTTTGAAAGGCTTTAAGAAGGATATTTAAAGCCGAATTTCTAACCTTACAATTCGGTCAGAATTTTTCTAGGCATTTTCCGAAGATGAAACTAGGAAATCAAGACAGAAATTGCTCATGAACAAATCCTGGATAATTAAGAATCATTTCAAACGATCTAAAATCTAAGTATTTGAAGACTTTAAACTACTTAAAACGGAAAAACCCGGATTAGATTGTGATGAATTAGAAATGAGTGCAAGAAACAGTTGAATGAGTCTAAAAAGCGATGGAAAATGCTTTTAAAGGCGGTCAGAAGTGTCTGGAAGTGTTGGAGACATTTAAGCCACATTATCTTCCCCTTGGAACTTGCGGGCGTCAATTGGTTGCCAACGCATTGCTGTAATTCCTAACGATCTCGAGCGCAACCAATCAAGATCGCCATCAAAGTCGGCTATCTAATCGCACGAGAGATTATTTCCTACCTGTCTGTTGACGCAGTAAGTCTTGGCCATTCCGAAGTAGGGAAACTTCTCAAACGACAGTTTGTTGTTCTCATTGCCGGACTTCATGCGCGCCGCGGCGACAGTTTGGAAAGACATGCCGTCGCCGATGAAGAAGATGATGTTCTTGGCCTTTTTGGTGTTTGGATTCTGGTGAATGTTGACCTTTTCCGCCACTGTTTCCCTGCCATTTCTCATCCAATACTCCGTCTCGAGTTCCTCCGGGAGAATTGCCTTGTTGTTCAGCGGATCCTCAACGGGGAGATCCGGATGGACTCTGGAGTCTTGAAGCAAGGAATGGTTGAGAGGTGGAAAGGCGTGGGGAGAAATTGGCGATCTTACCTTCTTCCTCGTCGACGTCTTCATCCCAATTCTGGGCTTCAGCGCAGAGCGCCAAAGCACCCAAGAGCAGGAGCACAAAGCGATAGTTCTTCATCGTGCGGAAACTCGAGTTCAACTGCGAGTTTCCAAGCCAGGCAATTGCTGAGGAGCAAATAAATTTCTCAAGATCGCCCCGAGATATTGATAAGGGAGTATTTCTGAAAAAGGCGCGCTTATCAGAGGCTATTTATGATTATTTGATCGCCCAATCTTGAGCCTCTGTCGCGATTCCATTGAGCGCGTGTCATTTGTTTCCCGCCAGTCTTAAGACTTTCCACAATCAACAGCTTAATTGAGCTTTTATTAGGCCCTCACAATGTATTATTTTCAAGTGGGATCGTTCGATTTTAGTGGCTCTCTTTGGCATCCACGATCGCGCCTCTCGGGGAAAATGTGAGGAAATCGATAGGCGTGAGCAAAGCATGTTGTGCAGCAAGTAAATCACGTTTCTATGTATGTTTTGCACTCTTTCCTTCGGTTTTTTCCTCCTTAAATCTACACTCCAGACAAATGATCAATAAAACAGCGATACTGGTTTCTCGGGCCACTTTATTGATTCAATAATTCTTTCAGTTTCGCAACCAGCGCGATTACAAAACCCTATCATGCGATGCTGGGGGATTTCTCGAAGGGGTACTTGAGGGTGATTTACAGGCCGACATCGGCCTTAGACAGCCATCCGTCTTCGATGTAATCTGCGGCGAAAGCCACGAGGTGAGGGATGACGTTCTGCTCGTACGTTCCTGTGAACAGGTGCGCCCAAGGCCCAGAAGCGTACACGGGAACGTCCTCGCCGCCGTGCGTCTCCGTGTCCATCGGCGCCAGGCTGGGGAAGCCGAAGTTCCAGGCGCTGGTGTCCATCGTGCTGGGATCCACACGACCGACGCCCTGCACGACGTGATCTCCGTAGTGAGGCCCGTTGCCGTAGCTGATCGTGAAGTAAGGCTTGCCGTCGTTGGCGTTGCCAACATGGCCGAAAATGTCGTGTTTGCGGTTCTGGGAAGAGAAAGAAGCCATTAAGATTTGAGAGGCTTTCAATCTGCGTCAATCTAGATAATCACGCTTCATTTCTTCTGGAAAAAGCACAAGAATAACTTGTAGATTCATCAGAAACATTTTACAGAACATTTAACAGAGTTTAGAGAGCATTTTTGGTGATAATTAAGGCAGTTTAAGGCATTAAACAGTGTGTCTAAGATGATCTTTCTCTTACTGGATATCCTGCGAATGAATTGACATGACTGTGATCTGCCGTGACGACGATCAGAGTGTCTTCCTCGCTGAACATTTTCCTGGCCATTTCGATGGTCTTGTGGAACTCAATCGTCTCATCGAAAGCTGCCCTCGCTCTGTTGCTGTGATGCGCCAAATCAATCCTTCCGCCTTCCACGAACAGGAAGAATCCATTGGGATTCTTGCTCACGATCTCCAGCGCCTTGAGAGTCATCTCGCCAATTGTCGGTTCGGTGTCTGTCCTGTTTCGGGCAATGGCCTCCAAGTGGTAAAGCATGTGCGTGTGCTCGAAGAGGCCCAGAACGTGATCCGTCTCTTCTGGGTCGATGTTGAGCAGTTCTTCGCGGTTCCACACGAACTTCTTGTTCTCCTTGCTGGGATCGGCCAGCCACTCTTCCACCAAGTCCCTGCCGTCCGTGCGACGTCCGCTTCTGCCCTCCTCGTCGGCAACTGTGGTGTTGCGGAAGTGACGACGTCCGCCGCCCATGATGACTTTGAAGTGTCTTCCGACGTCGCCGTGCACCAATTGCTCCGTCAAGTCGTCCATGAGGTCAGGATCGCAGCCTCGGCTGAGGATCTCGGCGTCGTCCTCGAAGCCTCTGCTCGAGGAGTGGCCAAACAGACCGGCAGGCGAGGCGTGCGTGACGCGCGTGTTGGTCACGAATCCCGTGGATTTGCCGTGCATCTGGGCGAGCTTCGCCAGCGACGTTGTGTGCGTCTCGGGATTGATTCCGTTGGTGCAGTGATACCTGGCCACCTGTCCACTCACTCCCACCGTCCCGTAGTTAGCCTTGACGCCGGTCAGGTAGGCTGTGGAGGTGCTGGCGGAATCGGGAACGGGTCTGTTGAGGCAGTAAGTCATTGATGAGCCCGTGTAGGGAAACTTCTCGAAGGAGAGCTTCTGCTCCTCACCGCCGAGAAGCATCCTGGACGCCGTGATGGTGGAGATGCCCATTCCGTCGCCCAGGAAGAAGATCACGTTCTTCGCCTTGTTCACATTCGGTGTCCTCTTGATTTGATCGGACACGAAAGCCTTGGCGATTTCCTTCCAGTGATCTTGAGTTTGTTCTGCACCATCAGCGGTGGATTTGATGCCATCTTCCGGCATTCTGGGATGCTGTCTTCTGTCGTCACATCCTGGACTCGATGGGCTCCTTGAGCACTCCTTTCGCTGTGCCACAGAAGCCGCATTGGCAGCCAAGACGAGACAGAAAACCACAAGAAATCGCGCAAACATTTCTGCAAAAGTCTCACAAGATATCACACTCTCTCCGCTGCTTCTGGAAGAATGATTTCTTCCTCAGGCTGAGGCAAGTCTTCAGCCACACATTTTCAGTAGTCAATTTCAGATTAATTCACCTTTTGATAAGGTACAGAAATTTCTTGTGTTGCCGCGTCGGATTCGCTATCAAAACAGCGCATAAATCGTCAAAGATCCAACATTTCAAGATTCCAGAAAAAAAAATGTGCTATCATTTGTGGTAGCGAAAAGAAATGGGATTTCGACACGGATAACATTGATTACGGATGGAATGTTTGTAAACAGTGGCGTTGAGGGGCATTGAGTGTACTTCCAAAGACATTTATTGGCAATTTGCGGCAATCAGGAGATTAGATATCATAAATGCTTGAAATTTATCAATAAAATTCACTTATCTGAACTTTGTATTGCTTCTCGCATTCAGGAGAATTAACACATATCAGAGAGATGATTAATTTCCCGTGGAAACTGTGTGTATTGTGTTGATGTAATTATCAGTTGATAAGGATTCTCGAGTGTGATCTCAGGCGGAGTAATTGTATTACAATAAACCAGAAGTGCAATTAAAAGCATGCCCGAGGCATTTATTGGCCTATTTATCTGCCATTCAGTAGACTCGACAGACACGTGAAAGAAGAGTCAGTTGAGTCATTGAATCCAGTGAAATTTGAGTGTCTTTGTAGGTAATTTGTTGCGTCTTCCAATCATATGATATTAATGGGCGTTTTCGATGGTCACACTTGAGATTATGCCTGGACGCTTATCACCATCCGTCGCCCCGCATGTCGGCAGCATAGGCTATCATGTGCGGAATTACGTGCTGCTCGTACGTGCCCGTGAACAGGTGCGCCCAAGGTCCTGACGCGTACACGGGAACGTCCTCGCCGCCGTGCGTCTCGGAGTCCCGCGGCGCCATGACGGGGAACTCGAAGTTCCAGGCGCTCGTGTCCAGCGTCCTGGGATCCACACGACCCACGCCCTCCTTCACGTGCACAGGATACGCGGGTCCGTTGGCGTAGCCCATCGTGAAGTAGGGCTTGTTGTCGTTCGCATTTCCCACATAGCCGAAAATGTCGTGCTTTCGATTCTGCAAGAAAATCACTTCAATCACAATCTCAGCAAAAACGCTAAATGTTGTGTTCTTACTGGATATCCGGACATGGAAATGGCGTGACTGTGATCTGCCGTGACGACGATCAGAGTGTCTTCCTCGCTGAACATTCCTCTCGCCAGTTCAATAGCCTTGTGAAACTCCACAGTTTCATCCAGAGAAGCTCTCAAGTAGTTGTCATGATGAGCCAAATCGATCTTTCCACCCTCGACGAAGAGGAAGAATCCGTTGGGATTCTTGCTCACAATCTCCAGAGCTTTCTGCATCATTTCACTCAGTGTTGGTTCATTTTCCGTCCTGCCCAGCGCCTGACTCTCCACATTGTAGAGCAAGTGAGTGGACTCAAACAGCCCCAGAACGTGATCAGTTTCCGCAGTATTGAGCGATTGCAGCTGTTGTCTGTTCCAAATGTACTGCTTATTGTCCTTTGAGGGATCATTGAGCCACTCCTGAATGAGATCCACTCCATCTCGTCGTCTTCCACGCGATCCTTCCTCATCCACAGTTGTGTTCGTGATGAAGTGTCTTCTGCCTCCGCCCAGGATCACGTTGAACTTCTTGCCCACTTCGCCGTGCACCAATTGCTTGGCGATGTCGTCGATTTCCTTGGAACTGCATCCGTCAGCCTCGATCTCATTGTCATCCTCCCAGTCCCGGTCGGCGATGTGCGCGTACAGACCGGAAGGCGAGGCATGTGTGACACGCGTGGTTGTCACCAAGCCAGTGGATTTCCCCACACTTTGCGCCAATTCCGCCAGAGACGTTGTGAATGTCGATTGATCCTGTCCGGCGAGGCAATCGTATCGCGGTACTTTCGCATTGACTCCAGTAGTTCCGTAGTTCGCCTTAACTCCGGTCAAATAAGCCGTGGCCGTGCACGCAGAATCCGCCACTTGCTTGTCCACGCAGTAAGTCATGGAAGATCCTGTGTGGGCGAATTTCTCGAAGGAGAACTTCTTCTCTTCCCCACCCAGAAGCATCCTGGCCGCCGTGATTGTCGTGATGCCCAAGCCATCGCCTAGGAAGAAGATCACATTCTTCGCCTTCTTCGTGTTCTGCGTGCGCTTGGTTTGATCAGACACGAAAGACTTGGCCATGTCTATCCAATAATCTTGACTTTGTTCAGCACTTGTGGCTTCAGCAGCCTGTTTAACCCCGTCATCACTGAATCTTGGATGCTGTCTTCTGTCGTCACATCCCGAACGGAGAGAATTATCTTCACAACTTCGCTTCTTAGGAACAGATGCAGAATTGGCCAGGAAAACCACCATTAACACCACGAATAGTTCTCTAAGGACTCTCATCTTTGAAACAACGTCAGATCAGCTCCACAAATAACTCTCAACTGTCTTGATCGACTTCTTAATCGCTTGGATTGCTGTGAAGAATTCGATAGATAATCACAAAAAGACACTCGAAGATAACATTCTCTCGTCAATCACAAAGTCGTGCCATTTTATCAAATGTAATTAGTTGGGCAAAAGTCAGCTATCTCTAAGAGGATAATTCTTTTACACTTGCGTTTCCCAGTATCATAAATATTACTCAAAGAAACGTGTGGCTGTGATAGACAAACACAAGTCCCAAGGTCGATGAGAGTCAATTTCATTGACAAGAACGGAGAAATGATAAAATTCTCTAAGATTTTATCTGCGTTGAAGAATTATTTACTTGTTAAAGCTATAAAAATACAGTCTGTTTAACTCTAAAGCTTCCCATTCGACGTTGCCTGAGGAATATCATATAAGAGATCAAGTAAGAGAGACAACAGAGAGATGATAAGAATACTTACAATTCGTCGAGCCTCTTCTACTTTCCAGATAAGAGACTTTTTTATTGCCAGGAAAATATTTACTTATCTAGACTGATTAAACAGATAAAGCAGTTGAGCTGGCAAAAATCATATATTTTCTGTTTTATTTCGGGAGACAGAATGTCTCAAAGCTACTCAGAATACGCTTCTTCACAGAGTCGCAGTTCATTAGTCTGCAAGTCAACCTTAAACCTCACGATCTTATCTTACGATTTGAACTTGAATTGCAGGGCCAAAAAGTGTTTCATTTCTCAGTGTTTTCAAAATATTCTTTTTTATTTCTGAAGTAGAAAAAGTTTAGAAATCCAGTGCCAAAATTAGTGCTTTGGTCCTTTTCCAATGTTCGCCGCGTAGGCCATCAAGTGTGGCAAGTGACTCTGTTCCATCGTTCCTGAGAAGAGATGAGCAAACGGTCCGGAGGCGAAGACGCCAACGTCGTCTCCAGCGTGCGTCTCAACATCAGCTAAGGGAACATAGAAGGGATAGAAGGACATCCAGTGGCTGAAGTCCGAAGTATTTGGATCGACACGACTTGTAGCTCGATATTGGGTAGAAATCGAAGGTCCGTTGGCGTAACTCAGAGTCATGTAGGCCTTCTCATCAGATCCCATGGCTTCTCTGCCGAACAATCCTCGATCGACTTTGCCAAAAATATCATTTCCTCTCGTCTGAAAGAAGCAGAATTTCACGTGTTTCTGTGATAAGACACTTCTGCACTAGAGAAAAGTGTGACAAACTATTTTCTTCAGCCTTTGAGCTTTCCAAGCCCTGACAATTACTCTTATCAGTCTAATCTAGTAGTTCTCAAGAACACAGTACGAAAGATAGTGAAATGTAGGCCAAGATCTTACCGGATATCCGGAAACTGACATGGTGTGAGAGTGATCCGAGGATACGACAATCAGAGAGTCGTCTTCGCTCAGCATTTCCCGCGCCGTCTGGACAGCTTTGTGCAGCTCAATCGCCTCTCCAATCGCCGCCCGCGGAATCGTGTAATGATGTCCGTGATCGATTCTGCCGCCCTCGACGAACAAGAAGAATCCCTTGTTGTTCTTCTTCAGCACATTTATGGCCGCGCGAGTCATTTCTGCCAAAGTTGGTTCTGTGTTTTGAGTTCCTTTCTCTTGACTCTCCAGATAGAATTGCATGTCGCCATTCTCGAAGAGTCCCAGAAGATGTTCAGTGTTTGTGGGCAGATTGAGTAAATCATTGCGATTCCACACGTATTTCTTGTTGCGTTTGCCATCGTTGAGCCACTCGGAGATCAAGTTGCGGGAATCGTTGCGATATCCAAAGCCATTCTCCTCGTCTGCGTACTTAACATCCCTGAAATGTCCTCGACCGCCACCGAGAATCACACTGAATCTGCTTCCTGTCGAATCTTCAACTAATTGCCTCGCAATGTCCTTAACCACGTTGGGATCGCATCCACTCTGGCGCACGACGAAGTCATTCTCCCACATTCGATCGGCGACGTGAGCATAATTCGCTCCCGGCGAGGCGTGAGTCACTGTGGTTGTCGTGACGATTCCTGCGGACTTCCCAGCGTCCAGAGCCCATCTGGCGAGGGATTGCACGTGCGTGGCCGGATCGTTTGCCGCATTGCAGTCTCCGGCGGGCACTTGAGCGTTCACGCCGAGGGTGAAGAAGTTGGCTTTCACGCCGCAAGAATACGCGGTTCCCGTGCACGCCGAGTCAGCCACCTGCGAATCCACGCAGTACGTCTTGGCCAGGCCGCTGAAGGGGAACTTCTCGAAGGACAGCTGCTGCTCCTCGCCGCCCAGAGCCACTCTCGTGGCGAAGAGCGTGGGAATGCTCATGCCGTCGCCGATGAAGAAGACAATGTTCCTCGCATTGTTGGTATTTATGCGCTGACGAGCTTTCTGGAGGACGTGTTCATAGCCAAGATTGAGCCAGTACTCCGAAGTCTTCTCATAAGGATATCCCGATCCGCGAGGAGTTGCGAATGAAGTGTCCGATCTGGTTCCTGGATTATTGTGCAGTCTGGGATGCAGAGACGCTTCTTCTTGCATCTTCTGGCATCGCTCAGAGCCAGTTTCTGCACAATTCTCAATAACTGCACTCAGGCAAGTCACTGCCATCGCGGCGAGGCACAAAATCTGCAGACACTTCATCTTGCTATCAACTTCCGGACTTGACTACTTTTCGAGCAAGAACGCCCACGCTTTTTATACTTGCCAAATCTCATGAGCAGATTTTGGCTCTCATAAATTTAATTTTTTTACGAGCGCTAGACAAAAGTTTACCACTTTTATTATTACGCGTGATAAGAGAATAAAATCTTCGTCGTTGTGTAATGGCTTCGCAACTTATGGTAATTGGTTGAGATACTAAATTGTCCTCACGGTGAATGTTATCACCTTTCTCAAAGGTGAACAGATTGTTAATTTGGACTTTAGAGGGAATAAATATTAATATTTCAGCACTGTTAAATGCTTTGAAATGGCCAAAAAAAAGAGACTTTTACAGCACTCACAAGTGCCATTATGTTATCTACTATGCCAGAGTACTTTTTCCATCACAATATTTATTCACGTGTTGCAAAGCCAAAGCCAAAGTCTCGTGTTTCCTTTTTCCTTTCGGATTCGCTTTATTGAAATTCTCCTCGAATCTCAAGGATTCCAAGCGCAATGTGACACAAAGGAGAAGGACAAAAATTGCAGTCGCACTTCATTTTGCACTCCCTTCGACTGTTGTTGCCCATAAAACTTCTTTTTACAACAACACGTGTTAGTGCACAGCCATAAATTCGTGCTTTTATGTGCTTTCCATTATGAAGCTCATCTTTTTTTCGACTTTTGCGACTGAAACAATGACTTTATTCCCATAAATTCCCACACAAAAACAGTACAATATCAATCGGCTGAGTATTGCCGCGGCTTTCCGAGGCGCGATTTAAGAACGCGGTCCTTTGCCGATGCTCGCCGCGTAGGCCATCAAGTGTGGCAAGTGGCTCTGCTCCATCGTGCTCGTGAAGAGGTGAGCAAACGGTCCGGAGGCGAAGACGCCAACGTCGTCTCCGGCGTGCGTCTCCATGTCCAGCGGCACGTGGAAGGGATAGAGCGAGGACCACTTGCTGAAGTCCTGCGTGTTGGGATCGACTCTGCCCGTGGTTGAGTAGTGATTGGACTGAATTGGCCCGTTGGCGTAGCTTAAGGTCATGTAAGGCATTCCGTCTTTGGCATTTCCCCTGTCAGTCTTCCCAAAGATGTCATTTCCACGAGTCTGCAAGACGCGAAATGTCCTTGCATTAGCACATCTCGATATGTGTTAAATTTACAGCTTGAAGGTTTACCTTTGAGGTATTATATAATCATTATATATGGGCTATATGGTAATGTTTGTTCAGCGATGCGCTGTGATAAGGTGAAGGTGAGATTTCGAGACGTCTTCGCGTTTACTCACCGGATAACCAGAGATAGACATGGTGTGAGAGTGATCCGAGGATACGACAATCAGAGAATCGTCTTCGCTCAGCATTTCCCGCGCCGTCTGGACAGCTTTGTGCAGCTCAATCGCCTCTCCAATCGCCGCCCGCGGAATCGTGTAATGATGTCCGTGATCGATTCTGCCGCCCTCGACGAACAAGAAGAATCCCTTGTTGTTCTTCTTCAGCACATTTATGGCCGCGCGAGTCATTTCCTCGAGTGTTGGCTCAGTATTTTGAGTTCCTTTCTCCTGACTCTCCAGATAAAATTGCATATCTCCACTCTCAAAGAGTCCCAACAGATTTTCCGTGTTTGTGGGCAGATTGAGCAGATCATTGCGATTCCACACGTATTTCTTGTTGGGTTTGCCGTCATTCAGCCAATCGGAAATTAAATCGCGTGAATCAGAGCGGAAGCCGAAGCCGCCCTCCTCATCTGGGATGCTCGAGTCACGGAGATGTCCTCTGCCACCGCCCAAAACCACGCTCAGTCGACTCCCGACGGGCCCATGGACGAGTTGGTGAGCAATATCCGACACCTCATTAGGGTCGCATCCGGATTTTCTCACTATGGCGTCGTTCTCCCACATTCTGTCCGCCACATGAGCGTAGCCGGCGCCCGGCGAGGCGTGAGTGACAGTGGTGGTCGTGACGATTCCGACCGATTTGCCGGCATCGAGCGCCCACTTGGCGATTGACTCCGTGTGCGTTGACGGATCGAGGGCGGCTTTGCAGTCTCCCAGAGGCACTTTGGCATTCACGCCGAGCGTCATGTAGTTGGTCTTGACGCCTGTCCAGTAAGCTGTTCCCGTGCAGGCGGAATCCGCCACTTGGGCGTCCACGCAGTACGTCTTGGCCAGACCGCTGAAGGGGAACTTCTCGAAGGACAGCTGCTGCTCCTCTCCGCCCAGAGCCACTCTCGTGGCGAAGAGCGTCGGAATGCTCATGCCGTCGCCGATGAAGAAGACCACATTCTTCGCCGTGTTGGTGTTGAAGCGACGACTGAGTTTGTCTTGGACGTGCTGATGTCCCAAATTGATCCAGTACTCCGAAGTCTTCTCGTGCGGATGTCCAGACGATCGAGTGGCGAATGAAGGCTTGGGATGAGGATGCATTGTCTCCTCCTCCAGTGCTCTCTTGCACGCCTCCGCCTCGGATCCTTTGCACTTCTCAAGGACTCCAGCAAGACTGAGTCCACTGATTCCCATCAGTGCGAACAAGCAGAGAATCAGCTTCATTTCAACTCTGAGGCTCTCGATAAACTTCACTGAATACATCAATCTAATAAGCTTCTGCTTTTATAGCAATTTGGCCAATTTGTCTATCAGCATTTGAAGCATTCGATGGTGTTTAGATAAGGAAATTACAACCCTTTTTCTGCTCATCATTCACACGTGAATTCTGTGTGCTCGAAGCTTGGCCAGAAGTGTCGCACTTCTTCAAAATCACCCAGCAGACAAGGCTGGTTTATCATGCATGCGCCATGAACTCTTGAGCAATTTTGGCCACATTCAAGTTTCTCAGCTGATAAAGCCCCAGAATTTACGATCATAGCGGAAAGAAAGCCTTCCAGGTGAGTGAAAAGAAGGTGAAAAAAATGCTTTTTTGAAGATTTATTTGTCCATTTGTGTAGTTTTACATAATAATCCATAAATATTCTGTTATAATATCAATTACGAGTATTTTTTTCTGATAGATTATAATAGAAATTCTTTACAAACATCATACATTTATATGAAGTGATCAACATTTTTTGCTACATGGAGAAATATACCATCAATATATAAATAAAATAGAACTCTGGAGGATTTTCTATCAAAAATAAATACAATTTATATATAATTTTTCAAATTTTTCTCGAATTTTCTCTATAATGTTTCATGACTTTCGAAAAAGTGTCCTGTGTCTAGAAGAAGCATTTTATATTGGAATTCTTTAAATTTTCTTTCTTTTTTTGGTATATATTTTCACAAATTCTCGCTCATGAGCTCTATTAATATCAATCTAATTTCGCTTGAGTATTTATTTGTTAAACATTTGTTGCTATCTGTAGATAGAAAGTGCTAAACCAGAGTATAGATTCTTCTCTTTATTTTTATAAATATGTTTTTTTTTTGAATAAATACTTGAATAAGTTTCTCTTCAAAATATTTTCACTCTTCGAGTCAGGAGGGAAAAATATATATTTCAACTCTTTATTGTTTTTGATTAAAATCTCGCTTTTCGTCATGAATATATATTTATATTTCAACAGATATTTGAATATGTTAATCTGTGTTCTGTTTTTTTTATCGTCTCTGGAAGACTTAACTTATCTATGTTAGTTATGCGCATTATTTCCTTTGTTTCATGTTTTTTTTTCTTAAACTCCTTTCAACCAAAAACCAATGGTAAAATTATGCAAATGAAGACAATTTCTAATTGTTTGTTTTAATATTTACTCTGCGTAAAAAATATAATTTCTCATTTCATGTTGTAAAGTGTTTTATATTTGATAAAATCTCTTGTTAGGTTTTTCTTTCTTTCTCCTTTTATATAGAATTATTTGAGTGTGTAAAATCTGTGAGAAGTTTGCAATATTAGCTTTCATAGAACTTTCCTCAAATCTCTACCAAATTGAAGAATTTACATTTTGCAACACCGAGAAAATACATCTTCTTGTGGATCATACCCTGATATTTGATGAACAAAGTAAGGTTAATGATATCTTTGGGATACTCATTATGTACATTTATGTATACATTAAGGTTTAGTACATCCAATTATACAGTATATATCATTACAGGATAGGCAATTGTGATCATGGCACGCAATTTACAAGGTCTCTTGGCTGCCAACCTACACAATGGGCGGATTTTTAACTCGCTTTTCCTGGCGCGCGAGGGGCGAAAAGAAAAGCCCCTCGGAAGTCCGCATGCCATGCCATCACACTACGACGTGTACCATCGAAAGAGAATACGTGTTCACGTAGCTTTGATTAATTTGTTATATGTAAATTTGATTAAAATGTTTTTTTTTTTCAAATACATCGTCACGTTCAACATCATATACAAATGCACAGTTATTCATGTTGTGTTACAGGAGTTTTTCTTGTCTTTTTTTTCATTTAGTTGGTCATAAAGTTTTACACCATTTTCCATCTCTACTTGTTTTATAACATTGTCCATTATTATTATATATATATTTCACTACAAGTTACACATTTATATCTTTTATATGCTTGTCTCTCTTCATGAGGTCTTTAGGCGAATGGAATCTAGAAGCGTTACATTTCGAATTTTTCACTCTACTTACAACTATTACGATTACATTACATGATTATAATCAGTGACTTGTTGCTTAACATCTTTTGGTAGACACAAATTTCTCTCTAACACACCGTCATAAGTTAACGACAAATTCTTCATAAGATATTTGTATAATGTAAGAATCATGTAGTAATTTTTACTTTTAGATAAAAAAGACTCTACATTCCTCTATCGAACACTCTTTTCCTACAAATTACTTTGTCATAGGCTCAGCTACAATTTTTTCTATCCTTCCTCGTGGACTTAAAGCTCCTAGAATTGGTCTAATAGTTTGAGGAATTCGGAACGAAATACTCGCGGAGGATTTCAAAGTTAGGCAACCTCGGCTAGGATAGAACCAAATACACACCTCCTAACGAAAAAAACTCCTAACGATATCTTCAGCATGACATGGTGAAATTTACACTGACAGCCAAGATGTAAATCATAAAAGTCGTAAAAAGAATGTGTTTTTGACTGAAATTGCAATGAGATTTCCTTCATTATACAAATTTCCCACTGAAATCTCGTGTTGCGCCAGTGAGATGGATTTATAAGAAGCATTACCATTGATTGCAAAAGAGTCATGAAAAATATTTTATACTCCGCCAGAGACGTTTTTTATAGCATTCTCTGTCTCTGTGGATCTACTGTGCAAGTCTTCTAAGTATTTTTCTGCTATTTTTATATCTCTTTTAAGTATAATCTCGAATGACTAAGTTTTCGCGTCGTTTTTTTTCCCAAGACATGGTGCGCGTTATGATTTCACCTTAAACACTACAACACTACATATATTCTTATACGTTTTGCAGATTTTGCATGAGTTAATTCAATTTACTTTGAGATAGAACATGTCGAAGGGTGCCTCGAAAACTATCAAAAGCCAAAATCGCTATTTTTCAGCAGAGCGAGTTCAAAATTTAACGTTAATTTACTTCAAAACCCTCAAAACGTCTTCAAATGGTTCGTTAAAGTGCAAATATTGCTCTGTATTTATTATTTTGTAAATATTTCAGTTGATTTTATTGGTATTTATTGAAATTTTTGACTAAAATGTGGCAAAATTAAGAGAAATTCTGAAAATAATACTTTCGAAAATTGATTTTATCGAAACAACTTCTAAAAATCAACTTTTCATACTTTACTTGAACTTTTCCTTGCAGTTTTCAAGCAAAAAAAAGAAAGAATATGAAAAAAAAATTCATTCAATGTCTAAAAACCGTTTTAGGATAATTCTGGAAATCTAAAAAATGCGTTTTATACGTTTCACTGCAATTTTTGAGACATTTTCCGTGGAAAAATTCGACTTTTCATTCGTAAAACATGACAATTTTTTCCAATTGTGCTTTTTGATAAATAAGATTTTTCACTATTGTCTCATGAGATACAAATATCAAAATTTTTGTACAGGAAGAACAAATAAAAAGCTTTTCAAAAATACCCAAGAAAGAAAACTATGATAAATCGACTTTTCGTAGTTTTCGATTCACCCGTCGATGTAAGATTTGCTCATATCTTATAGACGATCTTCCTATGCTACTGATGACATTGCACATTCACACATTGCACGCAACGTTGACGAACATAATCCTGGATAGAATTGATTACGACAATATTCTAATCACTTGAGTGCTCAAAATAGTGAATTCTCTCGTGTGGTCACCAAAATTACACCTCCAACATCCTTTCTTTCTTCCTTCCTTCCTTCTTCCAATTGTTGAGAGTTTTCCTTGTTGTCAAGAGCCGAATAGAAAAGTGCAATTTACAAATTAGCACTCAATTGGTCGGAGAGAATGTTGTCCATTCTCTCAGCGTTTTCCCAGAAAGTTGTGTGTCGACAACGAAAGGAGGAAAAGTCCGCAATTAACATTTTAGTGGCCAATGGAAGTATATAATTCCGAAGAACGCAAGAACTCGAGATGACGAGGTTACCCTCAATATATATACTAAATTAATTGTGCTTGTTGGAAAAATTCCCTCCTTCTTCAGCAGCACGACGCGGATGTTGCATTTCGCCGCTGAACTCTCTCCGCCCAAAAAATTCAATTAGGACTTCAAAATTTCCTACTTGTCCTTTTTCGTATCGTCGAGGCCCTTCGCTTTGCTCTTGCTCCTTGACTTCCTGCCAGCCCGACGATAGCAGAGTTTGCACTAGTTTTTCGCAGTCAATATCATGACGAACTCTGGAAAAAAAGGGAGCACAAGCAGGATTTATGGGATGAATTATCGCGGGGATGTCGCGAGGATTACCATTGTAGTTGACCATGCCGTCGCCATCCAAGTCCGCCTCCTTGATCATGTCGTCCACCTCCTCCTCGGACAGCTTCTCGCCCAGATTCGTCATCACGTGGCGCAGCTCTGACGACGAGATGAGTCCGTCGTTGTTCTTGTCGAACACCCGGAACGCCTCTCGCAGCTCGTCCTCGCCGTCGGCGTTCTTTATCTTCTTCGACATCATCTGGAGGAACTCATTGAACTCTATCGTGCCGTTCCCATCCTGATCCACCTCGTTCACCATGTCACGCAGCTCCGTCTCTGCAATTTGCCGAATTTACATCCCGGACAATGGGGCCAAACGAAATAATTACCCGTCGGACGCTGGCCCAGAGAGCGCATCACGACGCCGAGCTCCGCCATCGTGATTGTGCCGTCCTCGTCCTTGTCGAAGAGCATGAACGCCTCTTTGAATTCTGCAATGCAAATGAGAACTATTGTGAAAACTCTGCTGACCGAAAGTCCGATGAAGCATTCGTCCGGCTGGGCAAAAAAAACCCTTTCAATCCTGAATTCCAAATGGCAGCTTACTTTGGCTTGTGGACAGAAACACAGTGCGACTTCTCAATGGTGGTTTTAAAAGGCATCCTTTCTGCCAATCACAATGACAAACCCATTCTTTCATCTTGGCGAATTAATTCCACTGCCTTTGAAGTCTCAAACACGTGGATTATAATTCAAATTTGCTCTCTAACTCTTCCCAATTTCCTTCTTTTCCCTCAAACTTGGGTAATCAGTTAGCCCAGTAAGAAATTGTTGTACATAAAATTCACTTAAACATTTCATGCATGCCTAATTGGAGGAATATTCTATTAGAAAGCTTTCATATCAGAATTAAACAACTCCTAAACTTGTCCAAATTGAATATTTAAAGTATACTTTAGTGGAAACGAAAAGCAAAATCAAGGGGGAGATAATATGCCGTAAACTGTATGTTTCCACATCATTTCAAGTCGGTGAGACCGATATTCTGTGGCGTCACGCGTCTTAATCTTAAGACCAAGCTCGCACACACACACACATGAAACACAAAAGAAAATACTAATATAGAATAGATAATAAATCTCTTAAGTTACTATCTGATAATTCTGCAAGAATCAATTTAAAGCCGCTGTTTTGGACATTTTTCTGACCATAGCCTCAAAATACTACTAAGATATCTTGAAAGACTCATTCAAAATAGCTTATTTACGGTCAGAATAGCGCAAAAAGTTGTCTAAAGAAACAATTCCCAAGCATAAATGATTATTTTTGAGGTTATGTTCTATTTCGAAGCAATTTACAGTGTTTTCTGGCATGAAAGGGTCAGAATAGCAATGTTTATCGTATGAAAATGCCTAATTCTTAGACTTGAGCATAAGAATTGATGTGTTTAAATGTGAATTATTCACTAAATCTGTCTTATATTCGTCACATAACCTAGAAAAGAATGATTGTGATTGTTTCTAGCGCAGAAATGAAAGGAAATCCAAAGAATCGGGATAATTTGTCATTAGAAGAATGATTTAGGAAGTGAAAATTGCAAGTTTTTGAACACTTTCAGTTCTTAATACCCAAATTCTGATCATATTATCTCCTCCTTGAGTAAAATAGGTATTAAATGGGATTTGCTGTAACGATCGAAACAGGTAATGCTTCTCATCCAGATTTATTGCATTCCCAATGTGAGATTTTCCCTCCGTCGAACAATAAATTCCCAATCGATATTCACAAAAAGCCCCCAAATGCCACCCCCTGAGTCATTAAAGTTCAGGCAAAAAGCCCACAGCGGCTTCATTGAGAGTGGACTGAATTTGGGGGAGTGTGAGAATATCAATTGAGCGATGTATTCGCATACGATTAATGTACACAAGAAAACCCACTGTCATCATCAACCGTAAAAAGTGCCATTAGATTGAAATGTTTTCCTCCACGCGGGAATGACGCGAGGAAAGAGAGAAAAAAGCGGCGTGAAAAGCGAAAGTAATGGGCTCAAGAGACGCACTCAATATGAATGAAAAATTCAAGTAGTTCACGTGCTGGCGAGGTGAGAAATTGCGTTTAATACTTTAAACATACCTGCGACTTGCTCCTCTGACAATCCATACTCCGTCTGTGAGGTGAGAAAATCCAATTAATGCATGAAAATTGGGAAGATTTGTGTGATGTTCGCGCACAAGTATTATACTTTGGGGGGAGGGATTAATGTGGGGCGCACGCAATTTAGAGAGTGTGGGAAAAATAAACGAACCACATTCCGACATATGAGAGTTTATTTTGTAGTTGTGTGTTTAAAAATTTGTTTTTAACACACTGCCAAACAGACGCACGCAGAAAATGGCGAGGCAAGGAAAATGTATGAGAAAACTGTGAGAGATGCATTGATATTTCTGACGCTGATCAGCATCTTAATTTTAACTCACTGATTGCTGCTGAATATCTATACGACTCGTTAGTTTTCTCAGTCTCTTGTACTCCTTGTGATACACTGAATCATCTGAACTCTTGTCATCCGACACTCTTTCCATCTGTATGGGCGATTTTATTGAATTTCACGCAAATCCTATTCACTCCAAGACGTCTCGGAGCGTCTTGTTTATCTCTCGCGTCGCACTCAAGACACCCACTTTCAAGTGTCGCACGATTCAATCAATGGCTAATTGCCTGAGAGCTGAGGTTTAATCATGCACTGATCATCCTCTCACTGGCCTTATCAATGATCCCCACAACAGCATTAACAGGCGGGCGGCGTTCAGACTTCATAAACACCACGATAAAGACTGAAGATGTTTTCACTCACGATCCGTCTCGATTGCGTGGCGGCCAAATTGATGCTGTCTCACTGATACGACACAATGTGTATGAATATTTGGCCAAACATCTCCTTCGCACAGCATCTTTCCCTCCCAAAGGGCTTTTCTCGCTGTCGTGCAAAATATAATTAAATTGCGCCCCAAATGATAATTTTGAGCAACAGTTCCACAAACTTCTCACGATGACACTCTGTTTTCTCCATGTTGCTCACTTGAATGATTGCGAGTATTAATTTTTCCGCCCTAGCAATTTTCCTTTCGCTTGTAGCATCGCTTTATCATAAGCACTGCAAGCACATACATATTTTGCGAATTCTCCCGGATGTTTCGTTTTGAAAGTTGACGTGGAACAAATTTCAATGGGAAAATTAGTGGAGAAACTATTTTTGGGGCAAAGACTCAGCGGTGAAAATTGGGGGTGGGAATTTAATTAAAATTTTCATGATGTCCAGAGACGCCCCTGACGGAGCGCATTTTCTCAATGACCGCACTGCTGCGGAAATCAATGGGCGAATTTCTCGTAATTCGCATTTAATTGGCCAATTCAGTGAATGCACACCTCGTAAATAACATTTTGGCGAGTGTGACAAAATCGGTGGCATCTCAATTTTTTCCCCATTTCCCACCCAACGAGTCGACTAATGTGAAAATCCAATTCCTAAATGGACCATGTAATTGTTGAATGGGCGCTCCGGCTGAATCGGGCGTGTGTAGGTGTTGCACAGGGTGAGCGATATGTGTTATTTTTAGCCTCATTCGTTTGTAATCAATGAAGAAAAACTTCAGCGCCCGCCGCGCGAGATTCGTGAGCGAGAAAAATAACTATTTCTGTGACATACAATTAAAATTTCACTTGTCTATTCGCACTGCTTAACAAGGCCGCGGCTGTCAGCCGTGATTGCCTTCACTCCATTATTGATTCCAGATTTCATATATGTGTAAAAGTTCACTCACGAGCTTTTTCCATCTCTCTCTCGTCTTGAATTTACGATGGCGCACGATAAGATTTAGTGTGGTTAAGTGAGGAAGTTTGACTGAGAAAATTCAACTGTAATTATAAATTGCAAGGTTTCATTTAATGAATTTCGCCGAAATGTCGCCATGAGAGGAAATAGTTTTAGTGAGAGAGAGTTGAGAAAGTCTCTGGGACATTTATGCTTTTTGTCACTTAAATGGGTTTACATTAGGGACAGAGTAAAATCTGCTCTGAGATATTTAATGACTCTTGGGAATTCATAAGAATTCCAAACTATACACAGAATCACTGGAGCTTTATTTATTGATAGGAAAGAACGGGGAAAATTCAAGAATTTCACCGAATGAAAGAACACTTTATCCAACATCATTTACTATAGAAACCTGACTTTGTTCACGAAGTCCAGACATCTTCAGCCAAGGGGAAAGTCACTGGCAAGTTGAGACCATTATCTTTGGGAATATTCAACCATTTTTTTTTATTATTTGTTATTATTTCATACAAATTCTGATTTTCTTTTGGTTTTTTTTTCAGAATATTTATTCAAAATTTGAATATGATTGAATTATTGTGAATATTTTGATTCTGAATATTGAATTATATTATTTTGCTTTTTTTAGTAATTTTACTTGGGAAAATAATATTTTTTATTATTATTTTATTCGAAATTTGATTATTTTGTAATTTTACTTGGGAAAGAAATTTCTTTTTCTTATTATAAATTCAGAATTTGATATTTTGTTTTTTTAGTATTCCTTTTTTGAAAAATAATCTTTTTTTGTATTCTATTCAAAATTTAGTTGTTTTTCAATTTTACTTAGGAAAATAATCTTTTTTTTATTTTCTTACTCAAATAATTGATTATTTGATTACACAACATTGTAAGTTTTCTCAAAAATCGCCTTGCGATTTGCCCCTTGTCTTCAGCATTCGGCGAGTCTCTTGAGCAACTCGCTTATTTTTCCCACGACAATATTGCGCCCCAATCAATACAAATGATGAAATATTTCTTATCATGGGGCAAAAGGGGAGAGAAATGGGCAATTTGTCGGCGAGGAGGAACTGCAGAGCGACTCACCAGATCAATACGGACGATTAGGTCGTGCTGCTGATGCTTCTTCTTGGGCTTCTTCTTCCCGGCCGGCGGCGGCGGCGGGGCCGCGACGGCCACCTTGTTCTGCGACGCCGACTTGGGGGTGCCGGGCTTGCCGCCCTGCTGCTTGGCGGGCGCGGGACCCTTCACCGAGTGCGCTGTGGCCTTGGCGGGCGCGCCCCGCTGACCCGATGGCGTCTTCTCCCGCTGCGCAGAGCTCTGCCGCAAGTGGCCACTTCCGTCCGCGGGCTTGTTGCGGGCCTGCAAAATAGGCCACCGTCACAGGACGTGGCGTGAGTGAGTGGGCTTTGGCTTGGGCGGCACGTTTTCGTCATAACTTTCGCCACTACAGCGTGACAAACTAATTGATGTGAGGCACATTCTCATCAAATTCGCACGCTTCTCACAAATTTCGAGAAGATGATTGAGCTGTGCGCTTTCATTCATCAAATTCAGCTCTTGCTGCTGTGCAAAATTCGGCTGCCAATCCAATTGAGAGAGAGAGAATAATTTTGGGGTGGGCAAACTTGGGCGGATTTCACACAGGAAATTGAATAGAAAAATATATATGTTTATTGAGAAATTTTTTCTCCTTCTTCTTCTCTCATCTTCAGGATGGCAATAAAAATGTTTTGTGTAATTTATCATTTGCTTATTATAAAAGAGTGTTTTGTGCTTTGCGAGGAGAAAAAAACCAGCTATATTACAGCAAGTTCAGCCATGAGAGCATACAAATTACTTTAATTCTATTTTCAGGCTCCAATATTAAAAGCTATAGCCATGAGCGAAGCGGCATCTTATAAAATATATTTATAACTAGTTGGAAAAGCGTATCATGCACGACGATATTTTCGCGTATGAGTGTAACGTCTCATAATTCTCTTCCGCCGTGACACATGAAAATACTTGAGGCAAACAATATGAATAGCGTGCTTCCCACATTGACAAACGCGACTCCTGTTGCTCCGCGACCAATTTAATTGGCCAAAGTGCGAAGAGATCACTGCAAGCGATATTTACGAGACACTCTGAATTCCGCCCTCGCCAAACATTTCCAACTTCAAATACCGGACATTTCTCGCATTATTTCACCTGCGCATTCATCACTCTGCCAAAGGTCATCACTTCATCACTTTGACGAAATCCCGAGAATGCCGAGAATGACTCAAAGAACTGTTAATTAATCAACAGAATGACATGGATTTTAGTCTGCAAATTAACAACAATGCTAAAAGATATATCGATTGTACTGCAATTTCCATGTTATTATCACAAAACACATAAACATCGAGAGTGACAAAGTATCATATCAATAATGGCAATTTCACGCTAATTAATATGCAACATATTTATAATTGATATTGCTTTTCAAAAATGAACAACCAAATATTAAGGCTTTTCATCAAGGGGCAGATATTATGGCTGGAAGTGGTGTACAACTTCACGGAAGTGTTTAGGAATTGGAAATGGTTAAATATATCGAATATTCAGGCATTTTCTACACCATTCTGTTTAAAAATGTCAATTATATTGCTTTTTCTAGGTTATGTGATTGATTTAAGACAAATTCAGGTGATTAAAAACTCATCTAAATCATGAAAATTGTGTTTAATCTGGGTTTCTTTCTCTTTTTCTTGGCAAAGTTGAGTTTTTCTGTTTAAAATTGCATCATATTAGGTAAGGAAAAGCTTAAAAGTCAATCATAACCTCAAAAATTGTATTTCAGTCTAGAAAATTGTCTTTTTTCGCTTAAAATTGGCAAATTTAATGTCATTATCTTGTAGAGATATTGTGTTTTTCGCCGTATTCACTAATTTTCTGGTGTAAAAAAGGTTCAAATTAGGAGAAGAATGATCTTAAAGTCGCATTCATAACCTCACAATTTGATAAAAATGTTTTTACCTTTGCTAAAACAGAAAACTAGAAAATCAAGACACAAATTTGCCATGAACGAATCAAAGAATGACAAAATCAATTTTTACAATCCAAAATCTAAGCATTTGAAGAGCTTTAACTTCTTCGTAATTCGTGTAAGTGTCTGAAAGTGGTGTACAGATTTTCGGCATATTATCTCTCCCTTGCTTTTCATCGGAAATTATCGTGTCAATTTGTGAAATGGCATGAAAAGCACGGAAAATGGAGTGTGTTTTAAATTGCAAATGCGAATTCGTGTGCCACAGAAATGCATTAGAAGTGCATTGAAGGTGATGTGCGAGAATGAAAGCTCAACTCGAGAGAATCCATCCATCACTCTTTCGCACTTAATAAACACACTCTCGGCAAATTCCACTCATGTGACATCCTCTTAACCAAAATTGCCAAATTACATTCCCCTCGAAAACCACAATACAGGATGTGTGATTCAAAGTGAATTTTCCCTCACATATGCGAACGTGTAGAATGCTGAGGATGACGAATGTGTGTGCGGAAGAGTTTATAATGTAATTTCTGGCTAAATGAATCACGTGAAGGCGAAAGAATACGCGCTAATAACTCCAGAGCATTGAAAAGTCTGTCTTTTCCCCTCGCAAAATGCAGGAAAGTCACGAAAGAATTGATGGAATTTCCTCATGTGTGAAGACATTCCACAAATCGATGTTTATTCTTACAATGTACTTTACGTACCTTTAACTCGAGTTTGACACGGATTTTCCCAACTCAAAATAATAAACCATAAATGTGTCTCTTTGGATTGGAATGCAAATATATTTTCAGGCAAAAAGCTGTAAAGTTGAGGAAATATTTGCCCAGGATTTATTGTTAAAAAATTTTATCTGATCGTTATTCCAAATTTACGACTTACAAATCTTGCGGCAAGCAATTTTCCACACTTCAATTATAATTTGTGTTAAAGAAGAAGAAAAAAAAATCCTACGCGAGGCGCGGATTTTTGTGCCTCTTATGAGTTGATTCATTCTGTTATTTAGCATGTCATTTATCCCTCGACGACAGAGTGAGAGGGAGAACGCGCAAGAGAGAAGAAAAAGTGTGTGTGGTAAGTGAGAATGAAATGATGGAAGATAGATTGGATAGACAATGTTATTGGTTAAGAAGAGGTTGAAAAATGTATATTCTCAGCACGATTTTCCGCCACGTGACCTCTTTCCTTTTGACTCAGCATTTTGTTTTTATTTATTTTATTTTCGTACATAATTAAACTTGACTTTGGCGAGCGCCAGAGCGAGAGAGTCGCGCGAGGGGGTGTTCCTTCGCGAGACGCCTTCTTGTAAATAGACACATCGGAAAACCACTGGAATTTTAATTCATTATAAAGCCCCCCCCATGAAAATAGCTGTAGAACCGCTCGTTCTCAGCCCAAATCGCATTAGTTTCACTTGGTCCGTCGACGGTTCTGTTTCACCATTCAGATCCTCTCTCTTCTCGGCGCCTCCCGAACTCGCAATCCTTTAACAATGGTCAGTAGATCCCGAATTGATTTATCATCTGCATTTTGCCCACACGAGCGTAAATCCATTCCGCGTGTATATTGGGATTAAATTACATTTAATTAAATCTGTGATAGCTGCCCGAAATGATAAAAGCCGATTTTTAATGAGAAAACATAAAAGGGAACAGCAAATAAAATACATGAAGTATTTTCCACCCCAAATATATATATTAATTAAGTGATTCTCCATGTAAATATATTCATCATTAGCATTGGGCTGAAATTGATATTTATTTTGCAAGTGAACATTATGAAATTAATATAATATCAAGTGAAATAAAACCAGTGCGGGTGTTTTTGCAATTTCGTATTATTTGTGGAGCTTTTGTCAAAGCTTCATTGTTAATTAATTGAACGATAAATCAAGGAGAAATTCAGCTGGGACTTATTTTGCTGCACACTTTGCTGCACTTAATTTCATCTAATTTCACTTTAATATTGACACGCGGGGAAAATTGCATTTTCCCCAGTCATGGACAGTTTCTATATAGAATGAAAAAAAAATCTGATGCGTGCTATTTTTGCAAAGCTCCATGTGAAAATACAACTTGACACTCTCTGACAGTGTGGGGAAATTAATTCTCATCCATCATCGGAGTGGCTGAAAAATGCTAATTTTCCAACCATTGTTTGAACTACGCGCGCTCTTCTGTGCATCGCCGACGGTCTGCAGAGGACAAAAGCCTGCGGAGTGACATAATCGATTTTATAGACTGAAAAGATGCTGAAATGCAATGGGAATTCTGTGTGGGAAATGGATTTAAGTGAAAGGGCTGAAAGTGAGATATACCTTTTGCTAATGCGAATTCAATTTTTTTCTTCCCTCTCACGCCCAGGCTGACGCTTTGGACACAGAGCAGGTGCAGTGTAAGTTTTCTCCACTCTGATGGCAAGCATAATATGGGAAAATTTAAATTCATGGCATTTTCTCGCGCGCCTTTCAGTATTCCGCCGAGCTTTCTCCATGTTCGACTCGGGCAAGACAGGCCGCATTGAGAAAGAGAAAGTTCGCACAATCCTGAACACATTAGGCCACACTTACGATGACTCGGAACTTGAGTCGCTGCTTGTGGCTGAAGATGCCGAAGGTAAGCACTTTTCCGCTGCGAAGACACCCCCAATGATTTAGGGGAAGTTTGGAGGTAATTTGAGCAGAAATTTCAACAGTTTAGTCCTAAATTCATGAAATTTGTTCCTCTCGATAGTAAAAGGATTAGAGGGGACTTTAGAAAACGATTCCTAAAGGAACTTAGAAGCAAACATGTTGGAATTCACCTAAAACTGCTGAACAATTTCGCGAAAACAACCCTTTTTCCGCGGTAAATTGCGCTCCAAACTCTCTTGCTGGGATAAGAGGTCCTTCTGGTTATTTCCCTGATTAATTGTCCCTTCTGGCGCAGTCGAAAAATCTCCGTACGATCCTTTGAAATCGCGTATTGTTCACCTAATCAAATTTTGATATCAAACACTTATAAAGTGGAGATAAGGAATGAAAATCAACAGGAAAATTATCCTGAAGACACCTCGAATTAATTTAAACCATTTTAAGAACCCAAAACAAATATAATGGACTAATAATCAAAGGTTTCTGAAACGGCGCTATTTAAAATCTCGACTTGTTTTCTGCTTTGGCTCAGTTTTGATATCACAAAGTGATCAAGGATTAGGCAGAATTTCTTCAAACTTTGCATGGTAATTACTTATTAATGAGGGAAAATTATGTCTCAGAGCCGCGGGGGTGCTATTTAAAATCTCGCCACTGTACATAAGTTTTCTATTTGAAAGTATTTAACGCTGAAATTGAGGGAATAGAAAATCGCACATTTGAAGCGCAATTGTGCAAATTCTGGACTTGATTTTGTAGCCCGAAGTGGTTCACCTGTTCTCTAGGAAAACTTCTCTGGGTTTTTAAAGAGTGAAATTGGGTTTGTGCGAGCGACGCGCGGAGGGAAATTGGCGTGGAAAAATGGTTAGAACAATCCACAGAGAGGCAGCAGATTGCAGATATTGGGAAATATGTTATTGAGTGGGGGAAGAAATTTGGTGATTTATGCCAATATATGGCAGTCGTGGTGTCTCAATAGTGTTTGTGGGAGAGGCGCAAAGTCCCATAAAAAGGAGACACTCGGCGATTGAGATTGGACTGTATGATATACGACTCAAGGAGCTGTGTATGGGCTGCCAATGGGGAGAAGACGGAAGGAGATATGATAAATTAAATTTCACCAGAAAGAACACTTTTTTCCCTTCACACTCCGGCTGAGCGCCAGTTATAAATTCCCATTTTAGGGACTCCTTTTGGGCTCGATAAAACCATTTTTCGCCTTTTCTCCACGAGGTTGTGCTACAGAAATACATTTATCAGCACCTTGAACTCATTTAATGATGATTCACAGCTTGAGATTTCACAGTCAAACAAATGGATTCGCGCCCGCAGAAAAATAGTTTAATTTTCACCATTTTTCTTCGCTCTCCGCCGAGCGCCCAGGGAATTGGAGGAAAATGATGTCTGAGAATTTCATAATAACCGCTCGCAATCCCACAAAACACAGTGATTTACAGTGTTTAGCATGTAAATCTTCTGGCTCTGTAGTGAAATATGTATTGAAATAGGACAAATTTTTGGTGTATCACGGATTACATTAATATCATATAATGTAAATCACTCTTTCGCCCATGAATAGGTTCGGGAAAATTGGATTTTGATGCCTTCTGTCGAGTGGCCGGTCGATTCGCCGAGGAGGATGACGAGGCACTCCAGAAGGAGCTGAAGGAAGCGTTTCGTCTCTACGACAAAGAAGGTATCACTATGATTCATGTTCCGCAGACTCCGGAAATCTCACGGCTCTTAACCCACTCTCTCGCACAGGAAATGGCTACATCCCAACGTCTTCACTCCGTGAGATTCTCGCCGCTCTCGATGATCAGCTGACGAGCGATCAGCTGAACGAGATGATCGCCGAAATCGACACCGATTCCTCCGGCACGGTGGACTTCGACGGTAAGAATCGCCTCAAGACGCTCTCAAACACTCAAATAACCGACCTTTTTCAATTAACAGAATTCATGGAAATGATGACAGGCGATTAAGTGGCGTTGCAAGTGAAATTTTTTATCCAAACTTTATCTTCACACACGGAAATATTTGGACTGCAATAAATTAATGTCATTCAGAGAGAACAAATTTTACAATAAATCCTTTTTCAACAATTCCAAAATGTTTGCATGCACTGAAAGGAGAATTTGCTGAATATTCACGAAGGCAAGATTAGTTTCTAGCAATCAAGGATCTCTAATTTAAATTGCACACTGCAAGAAGCATTTATCGGAAGAGAAGGAAAAGTAGAGAGCGTCTATTATGTAAATTTGCGGCAAGAAAATACTACAAAGCAATAGTTGCAGCCCTCAAAATGCAATAACACTGCAAAATGCCATACAGAAAGGAGAGCAATGTTATCTATTCTATATATATATTATTCAACTGTACAATCTCATAACCGTCTATTTTCCGCAATGTCTTTCGCACAGAAAAAGTATAATGAAATCTTGTGTTTTCTACGATTAAAAAAGTGGCCCAATCGTGGAGCAACTTGAGCAAAACTCGCATGAAACGAGAACATTCGTGTGAGAAAAATCTACTGATTGATTTTTCACCTGGCTCAGACTCCTAAAGCTACTTGTGCTGACACTTCTGGCCTGAAATAAATCGGTAAAATTGATAGTATCACAGAAGGAAGATGTTACAGAGAGTTAAAGGATAGATTCTGCCTAAGCCAACACATTTACAATTCACTCCTACGCTATTTATTTACACACAAACTACAGAGAGAGAAATGGAAGACCATTTACGACATTTACTCATTGCTATAACTACACATCCTCTTTGACAGGATAATTAAAGCCTTGGGTGAGTCGTTGGACAGTGTGTGGATGCAGAATTTCAGATTAGTCCAGTTTCTGAGGTCAGTTTTGAGTTCAACCTTCATTTTGAGCATTCATAAATAATGCGAATATAATTTTAAAGACATTCACGCGAATTAGGAGAAACACTAAAAGGCCATTATTAATGTTGGACAGCTGTTTTGAGGAAATGTTTTGAGAATTTATGTACATCCAGATCTTTGGCACTCTATTTATTAACATCTTCACATGTAAATTTGAAACATCTGTCAAACAATTTATGACAAAATACCGCAGAACATCAAAAGAATTTCACGTGGGAAAATGCTGGACACTCAAAACAAAATTCAATTTGATGATAAATCTGAAATCATAATGATGTGGAAATGTGATAATTCACAACAATATCCAGTGGGGAAAGTGAATAAAATCCATTCTGCATTTTCCCCTTTGAATAATAAATCCATTTCGTCACGTTTTCGATGGCCAAAATTGACTTTCTGTCCACACAGAGTGAAAAGCATTTGATTGAGCGCCTGAAAGTTCCTTATTTGCAGGTCAAAAGTGAACTGCAAGTCCTGCAGACATACAATTTTCATCATCGAGCGGCATTACTGACGGCACTGGGTGTTTTCAGGCAGTTCGCAATTGACCTGTTTCTGCAACCTCACAGCGAAGTTTTCCACTGGAAAATGCTAAGTTCGCCTGACCCACATACATATGCATTTTCGATAGCGCACGATTTATCGATTAAGTCTTGGAGAGATTTTCCTCCCTCGAGAGAGGACAGTTCATCATCGTGTGGGTGGCTCAGGGATTCCCCGAAAGCTCTCCTCGTCGTGCTTCAGCACTTGATGACTTCATTAGAGCTTTAGGCGTGTTCCCTTAATATTTATGGATCACCTCTGCTCATACATAACGACTTTCTAATGGTGCAAAGTGCAAAATATTGCAAGAGCGAAATCAGATAACTCCTTCACTTTGCCAGCCAACTGGGAATTCCCACCCACACTTCTCAAGCTGAGGAGTCTTCGTCGATGGCACACATTCACCGGAAATTATACTTGAGCAGTTTCTATTCATGGAAAACTTTGCTGTACATATACAATAATGCTTTGAATGTGCGGAGCTGAGGCGAGAGATTAGTGGTTTGTAGCCACCCTCCAACAGCCCCAACAGATATGAAAAGCCTGCAAAATTATTGTTACTTTCTCACAATCTCCAGGCTGTGCGGATTCTGCTGACCTAAATCGTCCTGACTTTGAAATTGCCTAAAGGAGGAAAGCCAGCTTCAAAGGCCGCAAATTAAATAGACTTTCCGAACATCACCCAATGAATTCTGATATCCCAGCAATATGTTCTCCTTGAAGCCAATTATTGCCATTCAATTTTTATTGCATTCTCAGGAATTTTTCCGCACTTCAAGGAGAAATCATATCGCACGATATTCGTGTTAAAATAAATACAAAACATAATGTATCATTGGTATCATTTTTTTTCTCTTCCACACAAGCTGTATAAGTTCTTGGAATTGACCGAAATTTTCCCATCTCAATGTACAACTTGATTAATTTTGATCCTCCCCAAGAAAGGTTGAGATAGTAAGAGTTTTAGGGTCCCTTTTTGGCCAGAGCCTTTGGAAGTTTGCTCTGCGGTTCTTCCTGAGAAGGACTCGTCTGCTGAGGCACGGAAATGGTGAAAGTATAGTTTTCTCACCGCAAAAGCATTCGCTAAGATGTCCCCAAAATGTTCTTTGACACTTCATCACCAAGTTTGGCTATGAGAAGAGATTATCTGTGTGTGTGACAAGTTTAGTAAGTCGAGCTCCTCGAAGACATTAAGAAAGAGAGAGACGAGAGAAATGTTCTAGAACTCACAATTTTCACCTATTACTTTCAACTGTCAATTTGACGGTTAATTATGTGTAATTTTCAGCTGAAAATACGCTTTATGAAGACGCATAATTTGTTTTGCCACAGATTACTCCAGCCAACCTGTGTGAAAGATTAATCACGATGGGCAATTTTTGTTTACTTGGCGCTACACAGAAGATTATTATGATTATTTCTGTAATATAATCCTTCATGACAGCCCAAATCCCAACATAATTTTATATTCATGGCTGGGAGATTTGGCGGCGCTCTTTGTTATGTCAGTAAATGGTCAATTTGTAATCCTCGTGAATGTTGTCGTACAGCCATTTTGAGCGAGAGAAGAGGTCCCTAAAACCCCATTCGGCATGTGATACATCTCACTCCGATTAATCACTGCTGCGCATAAATATGTGAGCATGATGGATAGATACATACTTTATTGCGGGTCCTTGCAGCTGGGGTGAAATCGTCTTTTGACTTCCTCCGCTTGTCCTTAAGTATCATCCGAGCGGCGGCAAATGCCATGCTTACACAGTGTCTTGTAGTCTCGCTTGTTGATAAATGCTCGTTGGAATATTTACACGTTTGAACTTAATATTACTATCACTGAAAGTGGGCGATTCAAAATTGTGGTGCGTTTTGTGCGACAAGAGAAGAGGAGGGATTTATTAATCCATGTGGAGATGCTATTAAGGCAATCACTGACTCCTCCCTTGCTCATCACCCCGAACAAGGTTTATTGCTCTAATTCCATTAGTGTGTCCACTGAAATCCTCCCCTGAGATTTATGACTTGTTTATTGTGGTATTACTTATCACTTTATCTCCACCGTAAACACCTTTGGACGCACTCGGCATCGTCAATTAAACCACCTCTGAGGCAAATCGCTGTGTGAACTCAAAGACAGAGTCGCGGTTTAACTAGAACGCGGAGGATTTATTCGTCAAAAACCACCTGACATAGCGTGATGACTTTCTCAGTGGAAAATCATCAGTGAAAATGGCTTCTGCACCACATTTTTCATGTGCTCCCGCAAAAAAAAACGCCAACCCTTGCAACGTCAAATCCTTTTGAGGCAATAAAATGCATTTCAACGTGAAAATCAATACAAAAGTGCCACTTTTTCAGTCTCGCTTGTCCTATTTTAATGAGTAATGAAGGATTTTCCACGTTCTTTTTTTCGGCCACCTTGCTTCTGACCAACTTCGCCAATAGCACACTTCAATCTGATTATTTAATGCATTTCCCACTTACCACAAGGAAAAGAGTTCAGAATAGAGTAGAGGTGGAAGTCTGGAGCAGAGTTTTCATTCTGAAACTCCGTGGCTTCGCGCAAGGGGGAGATAATACAGTCAAAAGTGGTGTACAGCTCAGCAGAAGTAGTTAAGAAGTGGAAATTGTTCAAAAACTTACAATCTTCCTATCTTGACTGCTTTTTTACTGGCAAATCTTCAAAATTCTCTGAATTTTCTTTGATTTTCACGCAAAAACATACGTAATAAACTTTTTTCTAGGTTATGTAATGAATTAAGGATAGATTTAGTAAGTATTTCACATTCTAACACATCAATTCTTGTGTTCATCGGCGGAATTCTGCATTTTTATGCCAATAAACCCTGCAAATTGCAATGAAATCGAACCAAATTGAACATAACCTCAAAAAGAATAATGTGGATTTAGAAAATGTTTATTTAAAGAACTTTCTGGACAGTTTGGAGTCTGAATTAGCAATTTTGAGTTCATTGGCAAAACATAACAGATGATTTGGTAATCTAGAAAGCTACTGTGCGGTGACTTTAAAGATTTCTTAGGGCTATTTTTAGGTTATGGTCGGAAAAGATGTACAAAAAAACGTTTTTCACTGGTTTCTGGCAAAAATATTTGACGGAAACCTTAAAAATTGATCATAATTTGTGAATAAGCGTGGAAAGAGTCTAAGAATTTCAAGTGCTGGAAGTGTTAAGAAGTGTGTACACCATTTAAGACATATTATCTTCCCCTCGGCTTCGCGTAAAATTGCATTTGATGGCGTCGAAGGATGGGTAAGAATTGCGTTTCTTGGCACACCAAATGCAATTCTTACCTAAAGTCTACTTGTTTCCCAGTTTTCTGCTGCTGCATATGTACTCACAGAATTTCATTGAAGATGAGTTACATAAAATTTAGTGCTGTGTGACGCCGCCTTGGCGCCACTCAGACATCGTCCGTGACAAAATATAATCCAATGCCCAATTATAATTTCACTTTTATTCAAATACACTGCAAGCCTTTTTCGTCCTCGATAGAGCAGATCGACGCGATTGGGAAAATGTTTCCTGCTATTGTGCAAATTCATCACATTTTCATGGCATGTTTCGGAGCGCTTTTCCCTCAACAATATATTAATTGTGTGAATGAATGGATGAAGAGAAAAAGTGCAGAAAATGTATGCTAATATGATAAAT